CTTAGAACTTTGTTTTATATCTTCTCTTTGAACAAGATAGAAATTTAGGAGTAACATGGCCTTACAAACCCAACAGTGAGATCTTAAGAGATCCACAGCCTACGGCTCTTCAATGGGGTGTCAAAGGGACCCCAGGAAAAAAAATTGTAAATGTAAAATAATAAAATAAATATTCTTCTGTAGCAATAACAAAGTATAACATAAATTATTCTGTAGCAATTACACAAGAATATCCAGAAATGTCCCTGCCTACAATTAAACACATTCACTTACCGAAAATCGGGGGCATCTGCTGTGGCAAATGGGTTCAAGGCTTTTACCACAAACTTAGTCACTGCTCGGTGACATTCGTCTATCCTGGCCTGAAAGGAGACGCTAACGGTAGACTGCAGCGAGAGCTGCCAGCATCTGAGCCAGACTCTGTCTGTCTCTCTCATCATGGTCACCTAAATGCACAGTAATGGCAGGTTTTGTAATGAGGCAGATCGCGCTAACATAATATGCACTGTTAGTTGATTATTTACCTGCCGCATTAACGGGAGAGGACGTGCAAATGTTACCGCTGCTGCTGGGTTGAGATTCACGAGTCCGGAGCGGAATTAAAAACACGACATACATTTAAGGTCATCGCGTGTTTTGTGAGCAAATGCTTTTGCATATTCGTAGTGTTTCCTCCCTTAAATTAAATATCTACTTTGCAAGTATTGCAAGTTGCCCTGTTGTCATCCGTTCTCGTAAAGTATAACCAAACTTTTGAGCGTTTGAGCCGCTTACGCGCCGTGTTTCCTGCAAGGTAAATGACGCTCCGCAACGTGATGATGTCATTCGGGGCGACTGGAATCGATAAGGGAATCGTTTGCAAAAATGGCAAACAATTCCAAGGAATTGAAACAGTGGGAACCGGTTCTCAACAAGAACCGGTTTTCGATACCCATCCCTAATCCCAGATGAGGGCTCACTCAGCAGCCGCGGAGCAGAAGCCAGGGGGAGTTGCAGTGACGCGCCCGTGAGCTCCGCCGGCAGCCAGCCGTGCCTGAGTGACCGAGCCCCAGGCCTCTCACTCACTTCCGGCCTACCTGGCTTTTGGAGGCCCACTTAGACCATGAAGGCTGGGTCCTCAGGTGTTTGTATCAGTTTTTGTATATTTGTATGTATATATATTCCTAACCCCCACCCTAACCCAGGGGCGGAGCGTGGGGGTGGCTTACTGGGCTTAAGCCCAGGTTGTTTTGTCAGAAGCCCGGGGTCTTTTGGAGTGTAATTTTTTCATAGTTAGATGCCTGGCTGACAACTGTATAAAACAAAAAGTACACACAATTTTTGAAGCACATAGTGCACACTGTGGGAATTTACGACTGTGCGTGAATCCCCCCTGATATTGGTATGATCCGAGCTCAGGCACTAAGCGACTGAGCGAGAGGGCAGGGCAGCTGCTGCCTGTGTGCGCTGTTGGAGAAAGGGAGCTAGCCATACTAAGGAGAGCTTAAGTTTGACCAGGTACCAAAGCAAATCATTCGTACCGTACAAATAATGTAAATATGACGGTGTATCACGAAAGATTGATATCAAACTGATCACTTGACCAATATTACGTTACTTGCTCTTCAAGTGAATCAACAAATGTCGAAATGAAAAGCCGAACAAATGCTATTTTTTTAGAGAGTCTTAGCTTACATGTGTTTATTTCATATTTTCAGTTCTTACCCTCCCCGACTAAATCGGTTTCAGTTATGTACTGAAATATAAGAATGGACATTAGAGGGTTCTTTCAAAGAAAAAACTCAGGTAGATGTTATTTTATATATTATGCTTTGTATGTTGTTCAGTATATTTCTAGGCAAAACAAGAGGGATTTCAGTACACAGCAGGATATTCACATTTGTAACCAGATATTTACATACACTTTAGGGAGAAAACATAAAACGTTTTTACTGTACAACATCAATTTAGAGTAAACTTTTGTTTTAGATAAATATTGAAATATCTTTTGAATTAGTTAAATGTCAGAATAAAGAGAGACAGAGCTGTCTATTTTTATCACGTTCATCCAATTTAGGAGTACATCTACACTAAGTTTATTGCTAATTAATGAAAAAACTGCAGACAATTCTATTCTGAGCTGAAGAAGCTTCTGATAGGTTTGTACAGTCCACGTGAGTAAAGTGGTGGCAGAGCTGTGGATCCATATAAGGCAAAACACAGAGCCTGTTTCTTTGAAATGGGAAAATTAAGAGATGTCAACAAAAACACCAGGAAAAGAACTATGGAGCTCCATAAGTGTGGCTCAGTTTTGAATACAATTTGGTGCCATTTACAATTAAGAAATACAGGTAGTTTCTCTCTTTACTCTTAAAGTTAACAAATATGTTTTTTATATTTATCAATCTAAAAAATAAACATTTAGTCTGATTTGATGTTACAATTAAAAAAGTGTTTTGATCTGAAGAGTACATAAATGTCTGGTTTCAACTGTATATTTGATGGTTGTCAGCACAAAGAGGGAGAGAGAGGAACAGAGAGGGAGATGGAGAATGAGGACAGAACAGAGATGAACAAGAGCAGGTGAGACAAACATGTTAGTCAAATGGTCGTTTACCAAAAGTATCACCGTATCATAGGTACTTATGTATCTAGTACCTAGTGTTTCTTTTTAGGTTTGTTATTTTTCAAATTCTATATTTATTAAGTTGTGCAGGCTTGTTTGCACAACAAGGCTAAATAATTCTATAAACTTTTCTCAATCTAAATAGTGTACTTTGGTAGAATTAAAAAAATAAGTGTAGTGCAGGTATATGATGATTTTTAGTGCTACTATCATCTAGTTCTGATTGTGGTTCTGTCTTGGTTAAATCCCAAGTAGTCCTGATTTTGAACTGTTGTAGTCCTGTTTTAATTCTGGATCAGTTCTGGGTCTGGTTGAATTGGGGTTTAGTCCTCGTGTCTTGATACAGCCCTGACCTTGTTCTGCCTTGCTGCTTAATTAAAAAACTAGTTTAAGGTGTCCTGCACATGTGATATATATCTTTCCCTATTTGAAGTCATTCTTTTTTGAACAAAACTCAAAACAGAGCCTATTAATCTTTCAGTCATTTCTACCCCCCAAAAAATAAAAAATTCCCACATGCATACCACCCCTTTGGGCTAAGCCCCGGGTGTTTCAAATGTCTGGCTCCGCATCTGCCCTAGCCCCCCAGAATCAAAACAATTAATAGAAAAATCTGCCACGTTTTGCTTCCCGTACCTGAGAATAAATAGCCTATGAGCTGCACCGCCAGGTTTAGAGCTCCTGTCACTTCGGAATTTTATTTAAAACTCCTCAAAACAGATCTGGGTGTGACTTCAACCAGGTCCTCGGCAGCTCTGTCATGACAGCGCTCTTTGAACAATCTAAGAAGAAACTCAGGCCGAGTCCTGCTTCTGACCGAAAACCAAATCTCACACACACACACAAGATAGACAGAGATGTACAGCGGGACAGAGGCCCATGAAGGACCCCCGTTCTGCGGGAGTTTTCTTCCAGTTAAAAGGGAGTTTTTCGTTGCAACTGTGCCATCTTATTGACGTAAGATCGTTACCTTAGAGCACAAAGCGCTTTGAGGCGACTGCTGTTGTGATTTGAAATTTTATAAATAAAACTGAACTGAACTGAAATCACTGAATGTGGGACAGGACCATTTGAATTATCTTTATTCGTGGTTTGATCAACTTAAATAACGATAGAACACGCATGAAGAAACAGTCGAAAGAGACAGAAAGTAACAATATACTCATAACGCGTGTTTGGTAAACTCAAAGCCAGGTGCTATGAAATAGAGCTTATACGAGGTTTGAGGAACACCCTGTAATAAATCTGATGTATCAAGGGCTCAGTGTAATGGGTCATATGTGTGCATATTAAATGTGGGGGGAAAATATCCTTCGGGCTGTCTTCACTGTGATATGTTCATATCACAATGATGAAGATAATACAGTTCATTCGTCAACACTGAATATTCACTCAAACCACACCCTGCACCTTCCCCGATAAAATGATGCGAGTCACAACCCCCACCTGCCACTTACATTTGCCAGTGAATCATAGTTCTCATCAACTTGAAGTTGACAGAGGGATACAATGGAAGTACGCCAAACTCCTCCTTCATCCTATCTTGGATGGTCCATCTTTAATACTTTTTGCTGTTGTCTGCCTCTCGGGATTGCAGCTATTATCTATTCTAGCAAGGTAGGTAAAATATACTGAACACTAAACTTTTTTATATGTACTCCTGCACACATTCAAACCAATTTTTAGTATTCTGCAGCATAATATATTTTCTGATAAAAATATATTGAAAGTGGACGGGAAAATAATTTACATTTTATTTTAAAATAATATTACTGGGGCATCGATTAAAAAAGAAAAGTCTGGTTTGCTGGGATTAAACAACTGTTACTTTAGTTGTGTCCCAAAAGTAAAACTGAATTGCTCAGCAGCAGAAATTTTACTTTAATTTTTTTACTTCAAGTAAACTCTCTTCTAGAAAACTGAAATTAAATTGAATCGTTTTGATTGCTGTCTTTCAAAGGTAGAGTCGGCAAATGGACGCGGAGACATCGACAGAGCTGAAGATGCATCAAAAACAGCCAAGACGCTGAACATCGCCGGACTCATCTGTGGAATAATTATTATCATCATTTATGTCTCCATCAAATTCACTGAACAAAAGTGAAGCTTCTGGTATTTCCCAGAAGGCGCACTGCAATTCCAGCCATTTTATGCCCTCTGCTTTCGCTCTTCAACGTTCACCACTAGATATGGACTGACGTCTTTATGTGTGGCGTTTACGTTACCAGTAAAAAGCAAAACAATTCTTTGCTTTCATGGTGCAAGCCAAAAGTTGTTGTCAAATGAGAAGCCTCAATTAAGTTTTGATTTTCATGTGCATAAACTTGATTTTTTTTTTTTTTATTGCTTAATTTGCTTAGATTTTTTTTCAAGTAATCTCTTAAAGAAAACTGAGAAGGAAAAAAATAAATATTTAGCCCCCCATAAATTTGGCATAATAAAACACAATATGAACTTTTTAAAGTTTTATTGTCGATACTGTTATTGTTGGTCTCATTGCATTTACCGTTTATAATCTTATTTCAGAGATTTGTTTTTCTGTTTGTACAACTCCTTCAGACTGCATTATAATAAATGCACAGTTTGTCAGACACATAGTAAATTTAGCCTTTATTGTATTTATTTCTTAAATAGATTTGAGATTTTCCTCTATATTTAACATTATCATGAAAATGTGAAACGCATGCACTATGTTCAACCAGGCTGGTCTTCAGCTTTTTCTGTGGCTTCAGAACTCTTCTCTCTCAGAAGTTCTTCAAGATGAGAGAATAAAGATGTTTCTCTGTGCTTCCTCTGAAGTTTCTCAATTTCCTGTTTGTATAAATCAAAATCAGACACAAAAAAACAGTCAAAGTCCCTCACTCACTCACTCACTCATTCACTCACTCTCTCACTCACTCATTCACTCACTCCCTCACTCACTCACTCACTCATTCACTCACTCTCTCAGACAAATAGATTAGATACTTACATCTTCAGAGAGCAATCCTCTGCTTGGTTTGTGAAGTCTCTGAAGCAGTGAGGCAGCATGAGAACCACACCAAGTCTCATTCATGTTCCTTGTTGAAGCATCTTGGTTCTGATACCAAACACACAAACTGGCATCCTGTTCAGATGAAGAGGCACCCAGTCTAGCCTGAAAGAGCTCACCCAGACATTCCTGGAGTACCTATGACATGGCATGAAGTAAATTAAATTAGTTTAATTAATTACAACAAACACTGCCATAGAGCAAAAGTCATCCAACCTAGAATCAAACAATAGGTAACCTGAAATGTAAAGTTTGGCTTTAAAGCGAAATCAAAGCTCATTAAAGGCCTATTTTATATCAAAAAGAAAAAAAATAATTTAATTCATGCACACTTAGTGTGTTTGCACCTTGAAAAAAAGTCTCTGGAAGGCAGAACTGGAGTCAGAGCTCATGTCTTTAATTTTGATATGGGACAGACAATGGAGTAGCAGGAGAGAGAAGCCTCCAACTGAGAGCAACCTCTGGCGACGGACAAAGAGAGTTTCTGCGGCTTCCTGTCAACATACATCAGAGATTTACACTCTAAACTAGATTTAATTGGAACATTTAATATATATATATATATATATATATATATATATATATATATATATATATATATATATATATATATATATATATATATATTATAAGTTTACCTGATAAAAGAAGGAATTTCTGAAGACATTGTTGAAATAGGTGTTGTTTGGGAGACTAGATGCTATCTCGATTGAAATGACTGGAGTCTGTTAAAAAAGAACAATTTTATTTTCCTATAACATTCCAGCTTAAGTTCAAGCCATGCTAATATTAAAAAAGAAATTCAGACAAATGTATGCATGGATTCAAATATATCCAGTATATAATTAATAACTGAACATGTAATAGATAAATAGCTATATTTAGGCGAAAGGAAAAGATATGAAAAAAAAACAAAAAACAAAACAGCAAGGTTGAGATTTCTGGACAACAGTCACTGATTAGGAAAATCACAATGTCTAGCCCACGTAGGATACAGCTTCTGTCTGCTGCCTTGAGCTTTTTCTCCTGTATTATAGATAGGATAAAAATTATGAGGGTAAGATGGTGCATTTTCCCAGCACACCTTCAAACCATGCTCTTTTTAATACCCAGTTGGTGAATTGAGTTGAGTTATATTCAAAAACACACATTTTATAAGGTCCCAGTGACCCTGACCTTAAACCAATATTTTTTTAATCCTTTCATCCACAAGAAAACATTTGTATGATTTTTAAGGAAATCCCGGTGTGATTTTCCTGACATATCAAATGGTATAGACATGATTTCACATAACAAAGGGCCAAAGACTACAGCTTTTAGTTGTTTCACAGTACGCAACAGAGTGAGAGTGAAGCTTTGACACTAACCAGTTTTAGCTTATGCAGAGTGTGCATCAGGAACAGTCCATGCTGATAGACAAGAAACTCTCTGGGCTTCAGGACTGACAGCTCCAAAGGAATCAGCTCACCTTCACATTGCCACTGAGCATCGAGGACATCGACAAAACCTTTGCCTCTGTCTAGGCAACACACAAAAAACAGTACATTGCATTTTAGTGGATATAGTTAGAAAACAAGAACAACCAAGGTTGTGTTTACCCCCAGATTCATTCTGCAAGTGACACATGGTAAGGGAAAGGAAAAGAAATTCATTACCCCAAACCCCAAATTGAAAGCTATCTCAAAATATTGTTTTGTATGTGTGACTTCTTGATGTCAATTAGAAAACTTTTTTTTTTTATTGGTTAGGTTTAATTTAGTTCTATCTGTGAATTTCGATAAGCACATTCAGTGGTTAGCAGATCATCTGCACGTTTGTTTGTTTGTCAGGTCTTGGAATCTTCCGCTTAACCTCAACAAAACCACACGTGCAAAATTTCCCGTATATGTCATATTGTGAATGCAGACTGCATGCACATCAAAGAACACATCTCAAATACCTTTATGTATGAAGATAATTTAATCAAACTGTTCAAATGTAACTCTGATTCAGGAGGTCTTTCTTCTGGGGTTTTTATTTTTATTTTTTATTTTTTATTTTTTTACATTGAATGAACATTGTCAAAATAACAAAATAATCTTGCCTGATGTACATGGGATTTTATGCAACTTGCCAGTAAAACATGCTAATGAAATTTTGAGCCATCGAGATCTTTCAATCAGACTTTAATTCAAACAAATTTTTATTTATTGAAGTCATCACATTATACTTGAATAGAAAACAGAATAATTTTGAAATGAGTTTAATATGTATGGTGCTTAAAACACATCATTTGTAGTCAATCTTTGATGAAGGAACAACTCAAAGTAAGTTCAAATGAATAGATGAAATTATAACCCCTAAAATATAAGACTGTATATTTGTACATGTTATTTTTTTTTGTCTAAATACTGTTCATAACTGTTCATAACTGACAGTTAAAGTCAGTCATGATCACTAATGTGACGCTTGTCAAGTTAAACACACTGTAGAATCTTCAGCATCACTTATTAAAAGTTTTAAGTGAGTTTATCTATATATTTGAACCTTGATCCATACTTTCTTGATTAGAGAAAATCCTAAATGAATTCAGACTTGTGAACCCAATTCCGGGTTTTTTACTTTGTTTGTTTGTTTTGTTTTGTTTTTCCTCTGCTGAAACACAGGACAAGAGGAGGTAACAGCAAGGTTGAGACTTCTGAGATGTATGATGCTCACAAGGCAATCAAAGAGGGGAAGAAAAGCCCATTGCCAGACAATGGATGGTACAGCTTTGGCCCACCACAATTTAATGTAGACTGTGATGGTTTTGTCTTTTTGTTAGTAGTATAAAAATAATAAGTGAAGCTTTGACAGCAACCAGGTTTAGTCTATGTAATGTTTGTAAAAGTCCATGTTGGAAGTCCTGAAAATCTGTGGGTGTCAGAACTGACAGGTCCAATAGGAATTTTTCCTTCTCTTTGGATACAACACAAGAATTTTAGTAACTATAGTTTGAAGACAAGAAGGAACAAGCTGGTACTTTCCCTATACTCATTCTGCAAGAAACCAGACTGGGAGGGAAAAGACACGAAAACTGAGAGAGAAAATAAACATTTTCTTCCAAGGACTGAACTGATGCCTAAAACATAATTGAATGTGTTTAAACTGTCTTATCTCATTTAGAATACCTTTTTTTTTTGGTTTGGTTCAAGCTCAACACTGTACATACATTGTGCTGCAGACTGTATTTTTAGCACAAGACATCAATAGGTGTTACTTGTCAGTTATTGGAATCTTCTGCTAAACCCCAAAAACCACATCTGCAGTTTCGTGTATCATTTTGTGTCGTGCGAAAATGTGTGTTGTTTCAGCAATGGAAAAAAAATCAACCAGAATGTATATGACATCAGTGTTTGTTCAATGAATAAACATTCGTGCTTGGTTTACAGATGGATTTTACTATTCTAATAACATAAGAATTACTTTATCAACTACTGGTACAAGTGTGAAAATGTGGGACAATGCTGTGGAAAGTCCCAAGCAAGCAAAAAAAAAAGGAAATGGATGGAAGGGAAGTTCCTAAACGGAAAAATCAGTAAATGCTTCCTTATCTTATAGTATTGCTATGATGTATTCAGTTAACGGTGTGTGGAGCGTATCAGTATTTTCTCAACAGCAATGCAAAATACAGTTTGCATGTGTGTAGTTGAGGCCGATGCATGATCGCTCTTACTGCTCAGTGTACAGTTATTAAAATTAACATTGTCTTAGCAGAAAAAGTATACTTCTATCTTTAAAAGTATACTTTTAAAGATAGATTTAGCTCTTAATTTCTGAGTATACTCAGAAATTAAGAGCTATTAAGACTTAAAGGGAAGCTATCATTAACCAAAGCATTTTCCTTGGGAATTCTTTAGGTTGGTCAGTAGCAGTGCTAATGAAAAGGGAGTGCGGAAGGATATGAAAATACACTTGGCAGTTGGAAGAACATCCATCTTTTGTATATTTTTTTTTAAATAAAATAACTAGCATTTGTTCTAATAAGTTATCAGCCAGAAAAATGTACCACCGTAAAAGCGAGCTCTCAACTAGCTTCCTGTATTGTGGTTAGAGTGTAATGGTCAGTGGTTTTGTGGACTCATTTCGAGTTTTCTCACGATTACTATGAAGAGTTTTCAGTTTTAAGTTTTGTAACAATAATAATAATAGTATCTAATCCCACTAACTGCATGTCTTTGGGCTGGGGAGGAAGCCAGAGTACCCAGAGAGAATGGGGAGAACATGCAAACTCCAGCTAAACCCCAGTTAGGTGGATTGCATTGGTGGATCTAAATTGTGATATTGTGATATGCGTGAATGTGAGTGTGAATGTCTGTCTGCGTCGTTGTGTTGACTGGCAACCTGTTCAGATACCCTGCCTGTAACCCTATGGTAGTTGGGATAGGCTCCAGCACTCCAAACACACTATTAGGGATAAGTGGAGGAGAATGAATGGATGGATAATAAGAATAAGAATAAGAATAATAACTTACATTTGTATAGCACCTTTCAAGAAGGATGCTTTTCAAAAGAATATAAATAAACAAAAGTATAGAAATAAAGAAAAAAAAAGGACTAGTTTAATAGTTTTGTTTGTTGGGTGATGATTTTTTTGCTCTCTGAGCTCCATTACTTTCTTACTGTTCCTCGCTTTATATTCTGGTAAAGTCTCTGTATTAGGTGTTTTCCTGTTTAGTTGGTTCCTATTTTAAGTAGTTGATAGTCGTTTGTGTTGTGTGCCTACAATTTACTTTCACTTTTGTTTATGGACTTTTCTACAACCATATTATTAAAAGCATGTTTTTTAGTTCAATTAAGGCTGTTTTTTTATCTGCATTTGGATTCAAATTCTTTGGAACTGGGTTGGATTAAGGATATGCAGCAAGGATATTAAGGATATGCTCAAACATCTGCAGCAAATATGTGCTGTTGTCATGTGAATATGAATGGACTAAAATCTCTGAGAAATGTTTCCAGCATCTTTCTGAATCTATCTCATAAAGAGTTATGGAAGCAAAAGGGGATCCAACAAGGCATAGAGTTTTAAAAGACTTAAATAAAAAAATTTCCATCTGTGATGGAGCATGATTTAATTGTGAATCTGTGATTGTGCAACAGCTGAGCGCATGGTCTGAGGTGCTCTTGACTAAACCTGTCTCTGTTGTTACACTTTCTGCCAATCAAATAAAGGTACATAACTGCATCTAAGAGTAGGGGGGTGTGGGGTAGGGTGGGGGTGTGGGTCTGTCTTCTTTGGACTATTACTGCCAGAAGAAGAGGCCAAAAGCTGTGCCAGCAGAGCAAAACACTCCATCTGTTCCCCAGTGACATCCTAATGATACCGAGTCCAAATTTATTCTCTCGGTTAGTTTAACTGCTAAACTGGCCGTATTTCTGGGCTACTCTAACAAGCTTACCAGCATGGAGTCACACAAACCACCTGCAACTCAACACCTCAAAGACTAAGGAACTGGTTGTGGACTTCGGGAGGTCCAGAGAAGGTCCACTGCCGGTTCAGATAGAGGGGGAGGAGGTGGAGGTGGTCAACAAGTACAAGTACCTCGGGCTGTGGGTGGACAATAAACTGGACTGGTCATGCAACACAGAGCACCTGTATAAAAAAGCCCAAAGCCGACTGTACTTCCTCAGGAGGCTGAGGTCTTTTAACATCTGCAGGAAGCTCCTGAGGATGTTTTACCAGTCGGTGGTTGCTGGAGTACTTTTCTATGCTGTGGTGTGCTGGGGGAGCAGCACAGCAAAGAAGGACTCATGCAGGCTGGAGAAACTGATCAGGAAGGCTGGCTCTGTGGTCGGCATGAAGCTGGACACTCTGGTGACAGTGGCAGAGAAAAGGACACTAAAGAAACTGATGGACATTATGAACAATGCTGGGCATCCTCTGCACACGGCCATAAACAATCAGAAGAGTCTGTTCAGTGACAGGTTGCTTCTCCCCAAGACAAGAACTAACAGACTTAAAAACTCCTTTGTCCCACACGCCATCAGACTGTTTAACTCCTCTCTGGAGGGGAGGGGGAGGGGAAACAGGAGGACAAAGGAGGGGGGAACAACTAAGCTGTAGTGCCTCTGCACCTCACTGTACAATACCTTGTGCAATACTTTTTGTAAATAGTCAACAGTGCAATAGACTCAATACTTGAAATGTGCAATTCACTTGTATTTTTATTTTTTATTCCTATTTATTCTATTTATCCCCTTTGTATATTTTATTTATATTTGTCTCTGTATTTATATATGTGTGTGTGTGTGTGTGTGTGTGTGTGTGTGTGTGTGTGTGTGTGTGTGTGTGTGTGTGTGTGTGTGTGTGTGTGTGTGTGTGTGTGTGTATATATATATATATATATATATAACAATTCTGTAACTGTAACTTCGGTCGTTGCTGTGCTTTTTGGAAGTCGAATTTCCCAGAGGAACCCACCCGAGGGATTAATAAAGTTCTATCTTATCTTATCTTATCTTATCTTAGCTCACAGCAGTAGACACCTATTTATATTTATCAAGAGAATTAAAGTCGACAGATGTCAACACAGTCACTATGCAAGAAACACCTCCTGGATGCACTGTCACGCATTTTCACTCATGTATCCTGGGGTCATCAGGTGTTTCGGGTCTCGCAACTTGATACACCCTCACCCAGGCGACCAGGTCGGCGGTGATCAGGCCCCGACTTACACCATTAGCAACCCACAGATCAGCCCTCTGAAACCACAGCCACCTTGTGGCTTTCTCTGCTGCTTTGCACACAGCCTGGATGGTCCTCTTCTTGGCTGCCCCAGACACATCCAGCCAGCACAGGACTTTGCAGAGTGATCGCCCTGCAAAACCCCTACAACCCACTTCTATGGGCTCATAGAAAGTCTTCCAGCTCCTTCCCCTGTACTCCTACACTAGTTCCTGGTATTTTGCGTGTTTCCTCTCGTTGGCCTCCTCGATCCCCTCTTCCCAGTTCCAGCATGATCAGATGTTTTGAGGCCTCAGAAATAATGATCATGTCTGGTCGGAGGGATATTTTTTCAATGTGCTGTGGGAACTTCAGCTGTTTACCCAGGTCAGCCTGAAGCTGCAAATTAGAGACGGTGTTGAGGAGGCTGGTTGTTAAATGTAGGCGCACCTGGGGTTTCTCTCCAGCCTTAATGTAAGAGATTGCCTTCCTCGGAGCATGATGGTGCTCGCTGGTCCTGATTGATGCTGACAGATGTGAACAGAGTCAAAGTTTGAATTGTGAAAGATTTTACATTTTTCTTTAAAGTGGGGAAGCACACGTGGAAGGCCGGTAATTCTCTCTACATGAGGAGCCTACTCTGCCCCCCACGCTACTCTCTCGAAACACAAACAAGAGGTCATGGAGAAGGATAATTCAAAAAAATGTTACATCGGTTATTTTGAAACCGAGTCTGTCATCATGTGGCTGTCTCCATCAAGCTGCCATCAGGATTCAAAATACTTTCTATGCCTTAAAGTCAAAGCTCACTCTTCCAGTCCTCTGTGTCTTCCTTATAACACCCTTCCACTTGCTGTGGTTATGTGCTGTCTGCTGCCATTGTGTGGGTGGAAGTGTAGCAGCTCAATGCAGCATAAGAATTGCAGCCCTTCTCTCTTGAATTTGCTCCAGAATGGAAAAATCAGTTTTTGTGAAAGACGAAAGTGTCAATAATTTTATTCTTTTTTCTCAAAGAGAGAATTGCACCTCAGTTTCATGGTTCCGTGTTTTCTTGATGTAACAACACTAAAGATTCTGATTCTGATACAACAAAAGTCAGAGTGAAAAATGATGCAGTAAGTGAGTCCATTTTGTCGAAATTTCATTGAAGCTACTCATAAGTTTGGATGGCCCCCATGTGTTTGTATGCATGGCTGACAACATGAGGGCATGCTCCTTATAAGGTGTCCTGGGTTATTTCCTACCAGATCTGGCCTACAGCATTACAAAGCCTCTGGGCAGTCTAAGGTGCAACATGATAGCATCACACGAACTGAAACATAATCTCCCAGAGGTGTTGTATTGGATTTAGACTAGGGTGCAAGTGGGGGTACAAGCAGCATAACGTTCTCCACGGCCTCTCATGTCTGTCTTCATGCTCCGGGTCTTTCTTGGTGCCCTGCCAATTCAGCTATTGTATTGCAAATGCCAGTCAAGGTCCACGGTGCAGGACTGTGAACACTGGGACAACAGGACCCTCAGGGCACCCTCATGAAGTCTGTTTCTAATCATTTGGTCAGAGAAATTCATTCGTGGCCTGCAGAAGTTCATATTGTAGGGTCTGGCAATGCTCATGTGTAATACTTTATCTTTTATGAGTAACGAAAACAACAGTACACAGTATACAGAGTTCATGGTTGACTTAGCGACTGCAAGAAACCCAAGTCTTCTGAGCACAATATGAGGACGAATCATACTCCCACCACCTGTGTTTGGTTTTCATCGAACACAGTGCTGTGCATCATAGCCAAACATTTCTACTGAAACGTTGTGGTTTCTTCAGATACAACATTTAAAACCTAAACCATGGCAGCTAGTTTTTAAACACATGACAGCAAAAACAGAGTGTAAGAATGAATTTTACTTTTTTCATATAACTGTCCACCGATATAACTAATTACTGTTTTAAATATTATTTATTCCTTGAATATACAACGAACATCAAAACAATATAAAAATGATCATTGTGTAGAACTACCTATTTCCAATTATATTATATTATATTATATTATATTATATTATATTATATTATATTATATTATATTATATTATAATCAAATGCATGTTTAAATCCAGAGGATTCTAACAGACTTATTATCTGATTTATATTCAAAATTAATAATCTAAATTGCAACACAGCCAGTAACAAAAACTTAAAAATGTAGGCGAGCAGAAAGTACAATATTATCAATCACAAAACACTGTTTAAGTAATGAACTCAGAAACTTAAACACATATTTATTATAACATAATGCTGGAAACATATAGTTGTCCTTACAGAACCCGATAGGTGATGTAATGTCGTCATCATCTCTCTTTTTGCATTTCCTGTCCTCCTTTCTTTAAAATCCACTTGTCTGATCTTGGTGGCAGTGCCATTTCCTGTTGTCAGTACAGAGGGGCCTGCAGCTACCTATTCTTGTATGCAGATGTTTTCACACCTGCCTCTTTGAGTTCGCACCCATTGCCTTTTCTCACGCTATATTTCTTCCAAGCCCACATACACAAACAGATCTTGACGTAGTATTTATGATCATTTGTTTTCAGAAATAAGTACTATAGTGTCTTTTACAAATGCGCATACCGACCACCCCTCCTCCTAACCAATAACACACACATCAGCAGCTTGTCACAGTGGTTAGGATAGAGATACTGCATTTTCAGAAATAAGTATTGTAAGCTGGTACTAACGCACATAGCTGTGCTTATGTGGTAACCTCCATTTGTACCTCAATGGTTACTTTGGGTTGCACTTGACTTTATGTAGGTATGTGTGTGTCAAGCATCGCCATGCGCATGTCCCTTCTGGTATTAGCAAATACACTTCCTTCTTCTAGTATAGTCCTGTGATCCATTTTACCTAATGTATGTTATTATTCACTAAATGTACTTATTGTACTACAGTCTGTGATCTTCTTTTGTCTTTGCCTGTCCTCCTGTAATGCACTCCTGTACTTCGCAGTTCTAAGTCTCAGATCCTCTTTAGGATGTTATCATGCAATGCCATCTGTTGACTGGCACCATAGTAAAGAAGCTCAGCTAGGCGCTGCACTATGAACCGAGTTTGATATCCATGATATACTTCTGTTATCTGTCAGTTACATGAAGGTGATTATCAACTTGATAGAACAACCCAAGCTTTTCCACAGAAACACAGCTGTTGTTAGCTAACAGCTAGCTAACCTTGATGTAAATACAACAAGCTTTGTTTTATGATCTTAAATAAAAGGTTATAGAATAATAAAATTGTTTAGAGTTTCTTTATAGTTATAACAATATCAATTTTGATGTCACAATGTTTCTGCAAAAGAGGTCTGATGGCAGTTTCTTAATTAAATGGTGTTGTCCTAGAAGCCAAACACACTAACATATGGAGAAAATCTCTCCCACCTGGGCTCCATTAAACAGCAACTAAAACACATGTGGGCATTGATGAAATCCTATCAACTGTTTAATATCAACCTACCCGAGTCACATTATCTGTAACATTTTAGATAAAATATGTGACACACTAGCTAGATGCACAGCAATGATCCAAATGATCTGCACATCTTATTCTTCAAACATGATGGTTGATTCATCTAAAAATATCTAGCTACCACCTGAGCCACGCACACTTGCATAAAAACTTCATTTATAGAGTTTACCTTTCTGATTAAAATCAGGTCAGTTAAAGATTAGCTTTCATCTCTTCAATGCTTGAATGTCTATAAATTACAGTTAATGATTATGCTATCTAAAAGTGTCCTAATGTGAGCTGCTGCATACAGTTGGTGACTGTAATCGAAACAAAAAACTCAAATCTTTCCAACTTACTCGCTAGCTCTCCTGCAAGAAGCCCTGCCTTGGAGGCCCAACCCTTTAGCTGCAGCTCCACACCCTTCAACAGCTGGAACAGAGGAGAGAGCTCCAGCAGCCTTGTCCACTCCTCCTCTAAGAAATAAAGAATGGATGACAGTTGGTATGTCTTATCCCTTGAACATTTAAACTGTCCTATTATGGCATCATATCATAAATACCTGGAACTTTGGGAACAGTGATGTGTGTCGACTGAGTGGATTCTTTCATATGCTGGCTCTCTGTATGAGTAAATTAAAACATAATTGTTATTATTTTGTGACTATTTTTAATTCACCTTCTGACTGAAAATTTTAAAAGGAAGTTGTTAGCATTCTCTGATCTGTGTAGTATGAGATCAGTATGTGTGCTCTGTCTCACCCTGGGAGTGAATGCCAGAAGATCCAGTTTGTCTCTGCGAGTTGTGTGTCACTGCCGAGCTGGCTTGTAGCCCGGTGTCCTGAGATTGAGCAATGTTCCCAGTCTCCCTGAAAGACTGGGTTGAGATTCCTTTGAGAACGCACAAAGAAACGTGTTAAACCATGTATTTACGCTGCAGAGGTTTAATATGCAAGTTGCTTGCACATTATCTCAGGGTGTGAAAGAAAGCAAAAATGAAATCCTGACTAAAAAAGCAAGAATATTATTAGCGAAGATGAAAAGGCCACAAAAATTACTGATAAACCCTCAGTTGACTTCACCTTTGTGTGAACACATTGCTGATGTTCGGGTAAGGGACGCCTGATAAGGATCTGGTAAACTAAACTTGCTTCATAGAAATACCCCAAGTTAATATTTGGACACAGCAATCAAATACAGTCACAGGAATTAAGACTATTTGTTCTCTTCTTTAAAACTCCTTAGGTTTTAATTAGTTGTTTTTCCTCGTGCATTGTATGGTATTGCTATGAAAGCATCGGGGGGGTTGTGTATCGTTCCTAACCCTGGACATAATATGTTTAAATAGAATGACCCATGTTTGTCTCTCGCGCCCTCTGTTCTGTTCTGTGTCTTATTGTGTGTGTCTCATGTTTCCTGTTTTGTTTTGATAGTTCCTTGTTCAGTGTATTCAGTTAGGGTTAGGGTAACAAGGGAATGTTTCTCATTCCCTTGTTACCCTCAGTCTTTTGTCTTTCTCTGTTGTCACACCCTCCCACATTGCTGTGTGTTCTCCATTGTTCCTTGTGTTTTCAAGCTTTCTCCCTAGCTCCTTGTCCTGGTTCTTGTTTTTGTTCCTAGTTCCTTGTTCTCAGTTTCCAGTTTTAGGTTTTGTTTTCATGTATTTAGTTTCGAGTCTTGCGTTTTGGTCCAACTCCTACCTGCTGCACAGCATCTCATGACATCCATACCATATACATAGGCTTAAAATAAAAAATTAAATAAAATAAATACAAAATCGAAGGGGAAACCATGACAAGTGACCTACACAATATGTTGTTTGCTCAATACACATTTTATTATCTTAGTGTTTTCTCTTTTGGGGCAAAGATTACTCCGAGACTTAGCCAGCAGGTACATTTGTTTCACTGCTTTAAATGCTTTAATGTGCTTTTTGGCATATTGAACATATTTGTATGCTTATATGCATTATTTCTACATATACACTCATATGGCACATACCTTTCACGACAGGCACGGAGGCTGTCCAGACTCTAGATGCACTCTCCAAACCATATGCCTGCTTTGTTGACAAACCTAAAACATTAAAAATCTAACTTTAGAAGTCTGTACATTTTTGAATTATGACACAGCTTTCATAATTTTCCCACTGTACGCCATCACAGAGGATTTTTAAACTAAAGGATCAGGATTAACAAAAGTATAGTTTTAGTTATTTAAGAATTAAAGCAATTTTTGTACATGGCTTGCCCCCACCCCACTCCAGGTCATGTGAGGCCTGCTATTCCCTAACTCTCGGTTCCAAACAGATGATGCAAGGGGACCAGCATTAGAGAAGAAACTAAAAAAAACAAAAGAAATTCTCACAGAGTCAGTAAAAACTTTAAGAGTGCCCAAATCAATAATCTGGTACATTATTTAGAAAAAAAGAACACACTGGTCAGCTCAGCAACACCAAAAGGCCAGAACCCCAACAAAAGACAACTAAAGTGAATGATGAGAGAATTATTTCCATGGTTATTAAAAAAACAGGTCAAACAGCGATATGTAGCAGGAGGTAGATGTATCAGTATCAAATTCTACCGTTAAGAGATGCAAATACAGAGCAGAAGACTTTCATCAAGTATTCAAGTATTAAAAACTGATATTTAAAACTTTTATATAAATATATTTAATATTTAGTTTTCCAATCAAAAGTAATAATAAAGTAATAAAATAATTATTCAATTCAAAATTGGCAAGGCAAAATTACAAAAACTATTACACTGTCGAAAAAAGAACCCCATCGGCCTAACTGTACTTTATATCATCTAGTTTGGTCTAGTCCCACGGTACGATTGTTTTATTTTTAACTTTTGCTGTGTTATTATTAAAGGTGTCAATTTTTATGTCTTGGAAATGTCCTTGAGTGTTTGAAATGCAGAAATATTATTTGTTATTATTGTTATTAACATAAAATGTTGATTTCATTGCTTGTTAAGTTCAACGTACTACAGAGAAATAAGGCTGTCTCAAAGGCCTCTGTTGTTTTGTAGAACATTTTTAAAATGTGGGAGTTAAAATAAACATGAGCTCTGGAGATTGTCATGATTGATTGTCTTGGGTTGTGGTCATGTGACCAGTCACAGGTGATTTAAGATCCCTGATTTAAGATGATGAAAAGCAGGTGTGCTCAAAATGTCACGCACTGCTAAGATACAGGAAATAAGTTGATAAGTTGAGTTCTGCAGTATGCTTTTTTGTGTCCTTATATTTTTTTGGGGCCCAGTACTTAACTCATATATTTGTGAGTGCATGGATGGTTTTTCTGTTTTATGCAAAGACTTTATATACAAACATCTTAAGCTGGCACATCCAATGGCATGGAGAAAAGCCAAAAATTGCCTTTATTTAACTGGAAACTGTGCTTTCTTCAGGGCAATCTGTAGTATATATTATGTACCAGAGATGTGCTGATTGCATGTGTTGGAGGAGAATCCAGCTGGCTGTTTTTCTTCAAGGAGCTGGTTCAGTCTCTCGAGCAGAGGCAAAGCCTTCTGCTGAAGCAAACCCATGATCTTCACATTCGGTTGGTATCCACTGTACTGCACCAGGCCATATTCCTTGAACCAAAACTTCCCACACAGTACAGCCTAGACAGTCGAGCAGAAAAAGATAACTGTTACGCAATCCAAGCATTTATACAACAAGAGTCCAATCTTAAACCAAGGCACCTCACTGTCTTACTTTTACCTTCTAGTTTACCTTGAAGACCTAGAAGGATTGTTAAAATGACCCCACTATACACTCCTACAAAGTTTTATCAAAGATTTATCAGAATTGATTTGAAAGTTTATGAGTTGCAAACTCTACCAGCAAAGCCATAACTTTGATGGTGATGAGATTAAGCTTGCTTTCACCTCACTTTGGCTGTTTACTAAAGGTTCAAACAAAACAGAGAGCAAAATAAAAGATAAAAATATCTGTTCTGTTTTCTGCTATTTTTATTTCTTTTAAGGGGTTTATTTATATTCAGTGTTCTTTATTCACCTGAGCAGTGTCTGCACGGAGCAGCGAAAGGTGTCTGACAAAGTGAAGTGGATTAAGAGTGGCCTCCAATTCAGTCTGTCTGGAACAACACTGCTCCACCAGCTCTCTCTGTCCCAGCTCTCTGTCCTGCAGGAAAAATAATGACAGCCTTGTTATTTACAGTGTTAGAGAGTGCTTTTCACAGCAAAGAGCTGGCGTTAAAGTTTAACTAAAAGACGTTCCAAACCTCTCTATACCATACATTTTTTACTGCTGGCATAAAAGAGGAAGTGGCCTAACGGTGTCACTCATTTACACAGCTGAAGTGATAGCAATAAACCATAAACCAACTGTTCTTACTGTAGCATGAATGTTTGTTGACCAATCTCCTGCCTGTGCCATCCATTTTTCCTGTTCCTCCTGCAGCTGATCCATATACATGTCCAATTTATCAAGGCCAGAGAGGAGCTCTGAATGCCAAACACACTGCTGATCCCATTCCTCCTCGTCACCTGTTCCCACAGATGGAGAAACATAAGCTTAAATGCCTGCCAAACCAAATAAAAAGAAAAATAATATTTTAATTAATTAGTGTGCTGTGAGACACTGGCAAGAAACCACTCTCCTTTGGAAAGCTATGAATATAAGTGCACTGCAGGTCATGACTATAATTTCCTTCGTGCTTTCATTCACTCCTACCAGCTTGCCAAATAACTGACCTAACGTGAGGATGTGCAGAACAAGTGGAGGCAGGATCAGAGCCAAGCGGGAGTGCTGAGCTGCTCTCCTCTGGGCCTCTGTCTGTGCTGAATCCTGCAGCTCCATGGCTGCTTCCCTCAGCTGCTTCCCAGACCACTGGGCCTGAAACAGAGTACAGACACTGTGAATGAGAAAAAGATGCACATATTTGCACAATGACACTAAAAAGCCAAATGCATGAACATATCCCCATTCTAAGGTGCAGAGAACAGACACACACTTTCATATCTTCATGTAGAGGAACATTGAGGAGGAACAACATTTTCACTTGCAGTGCAATAAAGAAATTGAAAACTTTATTTTCCAGTGTTTGCTCCCGATTCATTTGCATTATTTGTAAATGTTAAAACAGCTCAACCCCTTTGAATTTCTTGCTCTATAATAATAATGGATTGGATTTATATAGCGCTTTTCAAGGCACCCAAAGCGCTTTACAATGTCACTATTCAGTCACTCTCACATTCACACACTGGTGGAGGCAGCTACAGTTGTAGCCACAGCTGCCCTGGGGCAGACTGACAGAGGCGAGGCTGCCATTTCACACCATCAGCCCCTCTGGCCAACACCATGTAGGCAGTAGGCTAAAGTGTCTTGCCAGGACAGAGAGCCCGGGGATCGAACCGGCGACCTTCCGGTTACAGATGCGCTTCCCAACCCCCTGAGCCACGGTCGCCCCTATACTTTGAGTTAAGGCTCTATAAGATATTTAGAACCAGAAAGGAAACCGCTCCTGCTGACCTGATAAGAGTTTACGTCTGTGACTCTAAAGAAACACTGGGACAGAGTCGAGTCCAGATCAGTTAGAATATCTTCCTCCCGCTGCCTCTGCTGCTGCCAGTAACCGTTTCGCACACACACCTCTCTTTGAAGTGCCTCCACCTGGCAGGAAGAAACAAAAATATATATATCATATCAGATATCACATCAGAAGAGGGGGGCATTTGTGAAAACATCTATCTGTTACCTGCACACTGTCAGTTTGCTCTCTAATCATTAACCAGTAGGAAGATGTAACTGGCACAACATTTTTTCTAGATGCATCCAGCCTTGCCCCGACGACTGGGGCCAACAGCCCTGTCACTGGGTCAACAGTCTGAGATCCATAACGGATCGCCACCAGTCCTGTGAAGTATAACAGCATCAGTAAGCAGAACTTCCACAATTCTGTAATGTTTAACTGAATTTAATTGGAGATCATTTATCTGAAATTTCCTGAGTAGGACTAAACTTCAAACGCTCCTGTGTCAGTTCTTGGTTTAGATACGATTCACCTGCACTACAAGCTGTTAGTTCTCATTCTCACCCTTCTTTTTTCAATTAATTCCTCTGTCATTAGTACATGGGGATCCGCCAGGCCCGGGAGCTGCTGCCAGTCTCCTCTGAAGCCTTCCCCAAACTGCAGCCTCAGTTCATACTCACGCCACCTGCCATTATCTCCTAGACATGCTATCAAATCTAAATTAGGATGCGGTCCTAGCTAGTGAAAAGCCAATTAGACAAGATTAGGTTTTATACTATATATCAAAAGCATGTTTTCACAATACCTTTTCCATTTGGGTCCTCCATGGTCCCTGCCAGTGGTATTGTTTTCCCAGAAACAAGGTCAATCTGAAATCCCAGGATCGGTACACTAAGGCCAGATCCTAAAGGATCAGGATACTCCACCCCTAGCAAAGCCGGTACACATATATCTGAACCTGGCAGAGGCATCTCTCCTGGTATGAACAAAACAGAAGCGTGTTATAGAAGAAGAAACAAATGCAATCATTCAAGTTCTGTCAACTAACATATTTCTATCAAGGCTTTTTAACCAGTGTTAAAAAAGAATGAATTTTTACATTCATTACACATAAATGCAGACAAAACCTTTTTTAAATGAAACATGATCATGATTTCTCAAAACATCTTACAAAACATGTTAAACATCATGAGAAGTGAACCTAATCACCTTAATGATTATCAAGGAAAAAAGGTCAAACACTGCAGTTGTGGCAACTACAATGGGAAAGTCAAAGTAACTCACTGAAGATCTACAAAAAAACTGTAGATTTATATAAGTTTATATATAAATCTACAGTTTATATCTACAGCAGCTGTAGATTCCAAGACTTCAACAACTGTAGACACAAACAATTGTACATAAGAGGAAATAAAACAGCTCCACCCAGAGGAAATTGGTTTGTTCAGGAACCACAAAAGCTCAACCAAACTCAGCCATGAACTGGAAACTTCTGGGACACCAGCATAACTGTTTCCAGTCAGTCACAGTGGTGGTAGCATCATGCTGTGGGGTTGTTTTGCTGCCAGTGGTACTGGTACATTGCGCAAAGTGGATGAAATATTGAAGGATGGTTACTTCAAATTCTTTAACTTCACCTTAAATCAACAGCTAGGTGGTTGAAACACGAGGGAATATGTATATATTTGAGCCTGAATACATTTTTGACAATGTGTGGATGTCAAAGGCCAATTCTTGGTTTTTAAAGTTATTAAAAATGTATGCTGTATAATAGTTCCACTGTGGAAAAGGAAAAATTGAAAAAAATAATTAAAAATGCCTAAGTACCATGTTATTCGAAAGTTTATATAAACTTCTGACCACAACTATTTATCGATATTGAAATCCATGCCATAAAGTTCCCAGTGCACAGTTTCTGTGCTGATGTTAATGTCAGAGAAGGTTTGGCGCTGTGCAGTTATTGAGCGAGCAGTAAGTAGCTCACCACTTAAAGACCTCGTTCTGTAAGTTGACATGGTCTGACTCTTCATGACTGTGTTGTTGTGGTTGTGGTACACTAATGCCACTTACAGTTTGTCATGTCTAGGGGGGAAGAAATGTCTTGTTGCAACCCGTTAATGTAAACTACTCAAATTCAGTGAACTCTTTATAAAATCCCATTCTTTTATTAGCATTTTTGTAGGTGCTTCATTTTATGGAGCTGTGAGTGTGGGACTGAAAAACATCTGAATTCAAAGATTAACATGTAAACGTCAAAACTCTATGCAAAGCCTTTCTGGGATTTCTTAATACGTGTAGTTTCCTATTGTGCAGGAAACTGTTTAACTCCCTCACAAAGGCTGCCTTTTGGTTTTTGGCCTAACGCTCTCTCTGGTTACCAATCAGCTATTTCTAATTACTTTGTACTACTGGAGAAACACGTTTCCATGCCTGCAGGAGACTGCAATGCAAACTATGTAAATCAAAACTGGATTATTTCTGGCTCTTGTGCATACTGAATTATAAATATGCTTTATCTGCAGCCAAGGTAATATGTTTCTTTTACATAACCAATAGCAACAAAAGGTCAAGCATACTTCTCGGCGCAGCAGCCAAATTTAGCTTAGAGGTTTAACATTACTTAGGTTAACTAGAGGTTTGCCTGTCTGCTGTAAAAAGTTAAATGTCTCTTAATTTCCAGTTAAAAAACAAACAAACAGACACTGGCCATTAAACTAACAGTCACTTTCATTTCTCAAATTGTGAAAAATCTGTTATGTTTGATTCTAACCGTTCTCTAATAATCATCACATGAACGATATCACCAAAAACACTTTTTCATAAGTTTTTTTAGGTCAAGGTTTTTTAATTCAGGTTGCTTTCGGTGTCGGAAAAAGGTCATATGAAAAAAGTGAGGCATGATGACTCATTTCCAAAAGCCATATTACGCTTCAAATTTTATGGGTCATTAACGTTGTTCCACTAACGAGGAGCCAATAACTGAAAGATGTACTCAGTCCTTAGCAAATGATTTGTGTTTTATTTATATATATATATATATATATATATATATATATATATATATATATATGTGTGTGTGTGTGTGTGTGTGTGTGTGTGTGTGTGTGTGTGTGTGTGTGTGTGTGCAATATCTGCTTTGTTTTATTTATCTATTTATTTATTTGTTTGTTTGTATTTTTTTGAGACAGGCTCCTTGTGATATATAAAGGTCGTGTAAAAAAAAAAACAACAACTTTAACTTAGTAAGTGTCATTGTCCTGGAGCTCTTCTTCACTTCCAAAGCCAAATTTAAACTTTGAAAACAGACATGGACAGACAAATTAACCATGAAATGTTTCTCCTTTGTTTTCAGCAGCAGTAGATATTTACTCACTTTTTATAGAAACACCCAAAAAGCAAATCAAATGGTGTGCATATTCCCATGTGCAATACGATAAATAAAATGGCTACATCTTCCTGTTTTCGAAAGCATGGACTTTGAGGGGTGTGTATCACAATGGGCTGTGCAAAAATAAACGTGGGTTGAACAAGATTCATTTTATGCATCTATAATTTGGAATTGAGTGTGACTCAGGCACCCCACACCTTGCAAACCTATGATTCACACCACCACCATTAGTTCATATTTGTGACATGATGGTAGGGATGATTCACACCACTAACAACAGTTCACAGTTATATGAAGTAATTTGTCACAGAAGAAAAAGTGTGACAATGTGAATTGTATTGCCTGTGTGACATTAACCCCTGGTGGGACAAAGGGTTATCAGAATTCAAGTTTTTCCTAATTAATAAATCAAAGAAACCTTCTTTCTTACTGTTGTTTTGTCAAGATTCAATTCTACTCCATTACAAATTACTGGTAACAAATTGAAAAAAAAAACTACTATGTTATTTTTTGTATTATTTTTTTGGACACTTTTACTTCTATGATTATCAAAGTTCCGAACTATACTCTCATGCATTTTAAGTATGAATACACTATTATGATGATACCTTTAAAATCAACAGTTCCCTGTTAATGGTGCCAATTAATATCCACACCATTGATTTTTGCAGTAAATACATTAGGCTTTGCATGTCTCTGTGTTCTACTTCTACTAATGTGCAACACTTTTCTGCTTTGGTGATTTTGACCTCAGTCTTAAAAGTAGGTTAGCTCATGAGTTTCATTTTGCACACTTGGGGAAATCCAAGCTGTGGAGCCTAAATATACTTTGACTTGTTTTCACATTTACAGTTTATGTAAATCTTCTTTGTATTTGCTCCCACTTTATCTCTCAGTTTCATTTTCCCCTGACATGCAATTATGAGGTATTTCTCTGCACTGCTACGCTAACGATACTCTGGTGCAGCTGGGTGTTAAAGCCTGTGACCTTAGCATGCTGAGATCACTAAATGACTCACAAGATTATATCAAAAACAGAATGTCTCAGAAATTTTCTGCAGCTTAATTATATCAGGAAATAAATCCTGTGTTTTGCTGACTCCCTGATGGATCACATTAAGCCCCCTACAAACAAACATAGGTATTGCTTTGATTGTAACTTAAGTTATTTACTAGGGGTGCAACGATATTCGTATCGATATTGAACCATTCGATACAGTGCTTTCGGTTCGGTACGCATATGTATCGAACAATACAAAATTTGTAATTTATTTTATCAACTTTCCTTCTGACAATGCTGTCTGTGTTGAGCGCTCAGTGAATCTGCGTTCGACTACTCCGCCTAGGCTGCACTGTCGAGCGCAGATCCACTGAGCGCTCAACACAGACAGCATCGTCAGAAGGAAGCGCGCAGGGCAAGCTAGCGAGACAGAAGTTAAGCTCTCCTTGCAACATGGCAAATTGAACCTCCCCCACCCTCATTCAGATCTGGCGTTTGGAATTATTTTGGTTTTCATGTGACGTATGACCCTGAAGGTAAGCGCGTCATGGACTAAAGTAAAACAGTATGTTGGATGTGCCACGCAATGCTCAATTACATGGGTGGGAACTGGTGTGTTAGCGCAGTTAGCTCGTTAACGTGTTGGCCGTCCAGCCCCATGCACGGGGCGATCCGCGGTAGCTCGTTAACGGAGATTTGCCGTGTTGTGGCGTTAAGGTCATTTCAACGAGATTTACGCTGACAGCACTAGTGGGAACAAAATGAATATGACTGCACATTTACACCGACATCATCCTAGTGCAAAGACAAGTGGAAGCAGACAAAAACAACAAGCATGCATGCTACAAACTTTACCCGAGTCATTTAGATAGCCGTTAGCACATGATTCTCCTTATGGGGACCTGATATGTTTAATATGCTGCTGAGAATATAGCCCAGAAGAAGCGTATAGTATAGCTTTTATTTTGGAAAGAGCCATTTCTCTGTAATAAACTCTCTTTTCCAAAGATGAGTGATTCCTCAATCAGATACAGGGCTCGCAATATCGCTAGCCCGACATCCTGGGGCTAGCGATTTTTCCAGTCGGGCTACCAAAATCTATCTCTGCCCTGCCCGTCGGGCTATCGTAGGAAGGAAAAATATATGTCAATGCTTTTGCATTCTTTCGGAAATGTAGCTGGGTAATTATGTCATTGGCATTGGTGAGCCACTGTCAATATGTGACATATTGAAATCGCGTTTGAATTGGCGCTTGTTTTTTGCTTTCACTTTGCAATCGTGCAAACTGTGTATAGAGAGCGACATTACTGATTGGTGAGTGACAATAATTTGTGCACCAATTCCTCTGACATCGTCTTATCAATCGTTAGCTTACTATGCAAACATGACAAGTGAAATCTCCCGCAGCTTAAACATGTGAGAGGTTGATCGCGCAGAGAATCGCTGAGCTTATGTGAGTGCGTGTGTAAAAGCAGCAGGATATATATTAGTTCTGCTGAGCCAAATAAGACAGGTCAGGGTGAAGAAGTGACAGCCAAAGAAAAGCTTACCACAAAACGGAAAAGTTATGACAAATCAGACTATAAGGCAAAAAGAAAGTGCAGCTTTATGGTTTCATGGACAAAAGAATTTCTGTGGCTGCGATATGATGAGCTATATAACCGGGGCTGCACATAAGTGGTCCGCAGGTGCGCATTCGCTGTCAAAATAAAAAACACGCACAAGGGTTAGGGTTAAATTTAAAAACTGTACTTTTGAGTTAAAATATATATTTATAATTTTAATAAATGACAAATTAAAAAGGCATGAACATTTTTTTTGTATCGAAAAAATATCGAACCGTGACACCAAAGTATCGAACCGAACCCAACCGTGAATTTTGTGTATCGTTCACCCCTACTATTTACATCAACTTTCAAAATTAAATACAAAATAGAAATAAATCTATATTTAAAAGATATAGGCCTTTTCACATGTCTTTGTCTCCTCATCCCTACAAATATTTCAACAGCCTCTTCCCCTGCCTCAATTAAAAACTCATTAATTGCCTCCTGAATGTACAGAACTTGGTTGCCATGACTACTAAACAAAAACCAAAAGTAATGACAACATTTTATCAGTACTTACACTTTGGGTGATTTTTTTTAACCATGTTCATCAATTATAAGCATTTTGATTGTTTTATGTTTTCAGTATCTTGTGATCATTAATGGACAATAACGTGTTTCTGTAATCCGATTACTTTTTCAAGTAACGAGTAATTAGATTACTGTTACTTTCTCATAAACAGGCTGCGTAACTGCGTTACTAAACCATGATTGTTTGTGAGAGTGTCTCATGACAATGACGTACAAGCGTGCAACGTCCATGGCAACAACAAACGTGTGTAGATCACCAATGGATAATATGGAGCACGGTAGAGAGTACGACCGTGCAGCGCTTAAAGCTTGGAAGTACTGACATTACTTTGAGTTTGACTCCGTAAAAAGTGACACAAACATTAGTGTCTGATGTACACTCTGTGTGGGAATAAAACTTTTTTCTACAGAAAAAAATGGAAACTTCAAATCTGAGCAAGCACCGAGCACGCTGTAACGGGAATGTGAAATTCACAGAGAAACCCCCAGATCCCCCCACTGACATGACCGCTGCAGCACCACACCACACTCCTGCTAAACAGGTGAAACTAGATGTAAGAGTGACAGGATTTTGTGCTGTGGAATCTTTGGTTTTATTTATTTTTTGCTGTCTTTTACTTGCATCTATTTGAAAGAGTGAGTATAAACACAAAACATTATTTATATGCTCGAATATGCAGAAAATAGGTTTAAATGTTAAACAAATTTCTTCAGGTGAAAAACTGTTGCGTATAATTTAATTTTTGCTTGATGCATTGTGCATAAAGTTAAAAATTAAAACTAAGTAATCTAAGTAACTAAGTAATAAGTAATTAATTACTTTTGGAAATAAGTAATCAGTAAAGTAACAGGATTACTTTCTTGGAGAAGTAATCAGTAATTAGTAACTATTAGTTCTTGCATTCTTGTGTAGGTTGTAGAAATAAAAGTAAAACTGTATGCTTATGCAACCTTCGGTTGTTCTTGGCCTCTGCACAGAACTGTGTATTTCAGCGTTCTTACCATTTATATTTGCTCCAATATCAAGTCTGAATCTCTCTTCTCTGAGAAATGACTTCATTAAATTTTCTGAAGTTAGTAATAAGTGCATTTCAATATGCTGAGTAAGAGACCAACACCTCGTAATTTTTCCTTTCAGCAACCAGACTGTTTGTGGAAGATGGTGAGCAAAGATTAAGATGAAAAGCTAAAAGGAGATTGAAATGCTAACTTTTTTTTCCATGTGGAGAAATGTATTTTTAGTAAACTTAGAGAAGCTAAAAGTTTAGAGAGCACCTAAAGGTGAAAGATAAGAGCTTCTCAAGAGAGAAAGAAGCAACAACAAAAAAAAGGAGAGAAGAAAAAATGTTTTTTTTTTTAAACTGTTTTGTACTGCCCAAAACAAACTATTCAAGTATTTCCTCACCCAGAGTCCCTCCATCCTGCTGCAGACCCATGGACCACTCCTGCAGGATCTCCAACCTGGTCTGCAGCTGTAGTTGACAGTGCAAACTCCTCCCCCAGGCCTGCTGGAGCTCTTTGGCTGCAGTGAGAAGATGATCTTGTTGACTACTCCCTCTGTCACTGCCAGGTTGGGACTGCACATGTTGCAAACTTTGATCTGAACCCCACTCTTCAGTTAGTGGCTTCAGCACATTCAGTACTTTGAACAATGCTGCCAGAACCTGTGAGACACAAATCTTACTCTGACTCCAAAAATGTTTTTATTTTTGAATCAAACATCTGCTATTATCTGTTTCATTTGTTTTGTTACATAGAAACAGTTACTTTTTATCATATCGATACTTATTATGTGAATGCAACCAAAAGCAATCAGTCTAATTAAGCACCTTGCTTTCTAATAAAGTTTGATATCCTCCTGCATGGGGCACTAGTTGTCCAGCCCGTATGGTTGCCCCTCCAACTCTCACCATCTGCCCACTCAGTGGTTCAACAAAGGGCTCACCCAGCAGGACTCCACCTACTGGCAGCACATCTCCTACAGAGGCACACAGAACAAGTTTGTCTGACTGAAGTTATGTACTCTAGAGTGTAACGGGAACTCCAGCAGCTCTAACCTGTGATTGGATCCAAGTTCACCCCTACGGTGAGCACAATGTTCCCTGTCCTGGAGTCCAGCATAGGATAACCAATCTGTATAGGCTGTGGTAAGCGGGTGAGAGGGCAGACATGGATTCTTCCCAGAGTGTAGACTAACCCAGTTTGGGGGTGAATGGTTACTGCCAGAATAGGTACTGGGACCCCTTTGTCAGGGTCTGCCATGGGAATCCCCAGCTGCAGTCTCTGGCCTGGTCGGAGGCCTCTGAGGTGAGTGCTGGGGAGAGGCTGGTCTGAGTGGCAGGAGGTCGGGTAAGGAATGAAAGGAAGGAGAGGACTATCCCACTTCCTGTTATCATCTGGAATCATTTAAAAACAGCACATAATTGCTTTTTAATGCAGAGGTCTCAGACATGTTTCATGAACCATATGAGCCCTTCTTCAGAAATCTTTAATGCGTGTCATAAGTTATTTTCCATGAGCTATTTTAGCATAAAATGGTTATATTCATTTTGATTCAGTTCATTGCTGCTTGAAATGACCAGGATCCCAGTGTATTAGGCTTTCTATTTGTAGAAACAGCATGTTTTGGTCAGGTTGTAACATGTTTAACACAAATGATCTGTTCTTCTTTAGTAATTGTATTTAAAAATGACTCTTGGTGAGTTTAGATTTATTCATCTCTAAAATACAAAAGATTGCCATTGGTGTTTTGTGTTTTCTGAGCATAAACACAAGATTGATTGATTGGGCTCTTTATTTTTTTTTAAAAAAAGTCTGAACTAAGTTCACATGAAATCTTTTTTCTTTGACTGTTTTATTTAGCATTGCCCTCCTCAGTAACCCACAGCCAATTCATACCTGTACAATGGTCAGCTGTGCAAACTAATGTAGAGCTGGCAGGATCATAGGCCACGTTTCCAGCAATGGGCAGAACTCTACCGGTGTGTGGATGAACAAAGAAATTAGGCGGCACTGCCATCGTGTGGCCGCTGCTCAGCAGCACATGGCTGTGAGCATTTGGCCTTATGAGGCCTGTGACTGAATCACAATAAACAGCCCCAGAGACACGGACGGACCCATCAGGATCTGGAGTTAAGCAGAAGAGGAGATTATTGTGATCAATCATCTAAATAAAATTTTCATTTAAACCCATTCACACTGTTTGTAAATTTAAATCCACAGCCTTATGTGGCTACACAGTTATGTTTGATTTACAACAAAAACATACAGTGTATTTATTGGATACATCATCTAACATTTAGCAAATTAATAATGGCCTGTATTTGTATAGCGCGTTACTTAATCCCTAAGGACCCCAAAGCACTTTACACTACATTCAGTCATCCACCCATTCACACACACATTCACACAATAATGTATTCTAACCCAGCTTTTCTCAGCCATAGTCTGTCTGCATGTTGCAGTTCACCTAATAAGCAGCAGATGGTGTAGTTTCTTTAAGAAACATAGGCGCAGATAAACAAATGAAAGAGTTTTGACTCACCAAAGATGTCATCTTTGGTAAGGACAGTTCCAGTATCAGGGCACAACAGTTTGGCTCCTATACCTTCGCCCAACAAGCCCCAAGACCCCTGACGGTGGCACTCTGCCGACAGTAGATCTCCCATCTCATCGACCAGTGATGTTAACCTCTGGATCAAACTGAAGATGGGAGACAGCAAAATGAATATTCAAGGGAATTTAAACCCTTAAACTCTAAGGTTCCCCATTACTACAGTCATGTGGAAAAAGAACGTTTTCACAGGACTCTATGCATGTGGAAAACGACATACATCCCTACTCAAAGACTGCAAGTTGCCTAGATCCTGTTGGTGCAAAACAAGCCCAATTATCACCCCTCCACCCATGTCCTTGACAGTTAGTATCAGATGATTGTGCTGATATGCTGTGTTTGGTTTCCACCAAACATGGTGATGAGCATTATGTCCAAACATCACTGCTTTGGACTCATCAGTCCAAAGGACAGTCAGTCAGTTCTATAAATTTTAATTGTGCTGTCATAAACTTTGAGGTCTGTAGCGTCTGATATGTGGCTCCTGGGTTTTTTGGTCAGACCCTGGGGTGAATTTGTTGGGACCTCCACTGTTGGGGTACTGAGTAAACACACACCTGGCTCTTTCTTTTTCACATGGCTGTACTTGAATAACTGAACAAATGAAAGCTTTACATTTGTTGGAACAGTTCAGTGGAAGTCTGGTTGTTACTATAAAGCTTAGACAGTAGTCTGGTGCACTCTCTGAGCCGAGATGTGAACACACTGTGGATCCTCCACTGGGCCTGCTGCTCTCGCCTCAGAACCTGAAGAAAACCAGTCATACTTGATCATGTATACCTTGCTAATGCAATAATTTTACATCTGAAAGTATATACTTGTTGAGCGATGCTATCTAAATATACTTTACTCAAACTGATGCTACACTTGCTATTAAAACTTTTGTTAAAAATTTGAATATAATTTGACATGTATATGCAGCTTAATAAAATGTAAACCTTCAGCTGACTGTCAAGTAGTGTCCTCAGCTGTGAGGCCAAAGATTTTCGTCGCACCACCTCTCGTTCAATCTCCCTCCTCAACATCGCATAACCTTCCCCCGGCTTTTCCTCAGCGATCATATGCGGATGGAGTATTTGCAGTTTCCCAAGCACTCCTTGGTATAGCTCTTTTACCTAGATGAACACATATTTTGGAGACAAAAAGAAAACATTAAGTGTTTGTCATAAGCAGATAATCTATTGACAGCCCAAAGCAACAACCACACATTTAAATAGCACTAGTGAGAAATGCAAGCTGCAAGAAGTGCATCAGTGCAAAATGTTCCATCTCCACTTACATCTTTAACACCTGAGCTGTCCTGAGGGCTGTAACCAAAATCTGTTTGCTTTTTTAATAACTTAACTTTTCCAAACATTCCCAAATTGCTCTTTCTCAAATTACACAAAAATAAGATTCTCTCTTCCAAATGTTCACTACAGCAAATATTCTGTTTTGGCAAGAGATGGTTCCCAAAGCGTGCTGGATGTAGAATGGCACATGTATGCTGTGAATTCTCCACAAAATGTCCTGTTCAATGGGGCATTACTGAAAGTTTGTACTCGGGAGCTGTTAGGTTTTCCAATCAGACTGAATCAGACATTTGCATTCTTCCCTGCAAAGAAGCTTCATTTTAAAAAAGAAAAAAAAAGACACCTGAGGGCTAAATTATTTATTGCCTATTCATAAACCAATAATATAGGCATATTCAATATGCAGCTTTTATTTTAAGAGTGCAAAAGAGAATACTCTTTTGTCTGGTGTGTTTCTTGAGAGAATAAGCATGAGTGTGTGAGTGAGACAAGAGAGTAAGCGTTTATCATTTGACATGCTTTGTGATTGATTGGCATTTAAACTAACAGCAGCAGACCTCAGTGGTGAGCTGTCCCAGTCGTGTAGTGACAGACAGGCTCTGCTTGAGCAGGAGGCTGTAAAAGGTGTTGCTGTTGAATGCCTCCAGATCCACCTGGTGTTCATAATCCCAGAACTCCTCCGAGGCGTCTGTGGAGGCTGTAAAAAAAAACACCATCACAAAGAAAAGGATTACAACAATATAAAAAAACTCATCCAACTTATTTCAAGGTGAACTTTGATAGGTTATAGCATTATATGATCTTTTGAAACACGTAAGCATGTTTTGCAACATCCTCTCTACTGTTCATTTACAGACACACAGAAGCCTTGCTAAACATTTCACATTTTACAAGCATGTAGCAGGTACTTATTTCTCCCTTTTAACAGGTATTTTAATATGAAAATGTAACATTTTGTGGCATAAGAATTCATTTTAAATGAAGTAATAAGGTCTTGAGGGAACTCCATAAGTTCCCTAAAGATCACTGATGTCCATGGACAAGCTGTTCCTGGCAGTTCCTAAAGCTTTTTCAGTTATTGTGGAATGATCTGTCTGCCCATGTTACATTGCTACCCCTTGATTTGGGGGGTATTTTGGTGCTTTTTAAAGCACTTTGTCAAAACTGTGTTTTTTATAAGGGCTCTATAAATAGATTGGATTGGATGTGGGCTGTTTTGATTTTACTATCAAAGAGAAATCAGGCATGTAAAGAGGGGTTTGTTCAGCAGTGTTTGGTTGGAAATTTCACCTTAGGGTCATTGCCGGTGCTACATGAGATGTTACAAGGGTTCTCAATGTGTCAGTGTGTCGTTTCATGTTCATTCAAGTGCCATATGTGTACACTCTGCAGGTGCATTAGTTGAAGTGGAGAAAACCATGTTATTTATGTAATGTATTGGGCTTTAGGGTTTCGACGAATGAGTAAAGTGTCAAAGTGTTTACGTCTACAATGTTCCACCTGGCTGAATGGAGCCTTGAGTTGTTCTCGATTGTTGGTTTCGATGAGTCTTTCTCTGTGAGATCACCCTTGAACCTTTTGACGAGTAGTCATCCATTTGGTAGGCCAGCTGCAGCGAGCGGTACCGTGCTTTGATTGGCTCCTTCTCTGGCCATCCATATTCACGAAACAGGATCTACATAGTACAGACTCATCAATTAGAGTGATACTTTTATATTTCACATATACTTGTGTATGTAGACTAACCAGCATTGTCACACATAAACAGAGGATGACCACAGCTCCAAACATTATTCCTACGGTCACCAGCCAGTCTGGCCGGAGTAACAGGTTGCGTCTCCTACTGATTCCCAACCTGGTCACGTGACGTGGGATGGTAGGGAAGAAAAAGCCAGGCTCATAGCACTGGCCACCCGCAGGCATCACTCGTACATACTGAATAATGAGAAATAAGTAGTTAGAGTATCGTGGCATAGCAGAAAGAGAGAGAGAACTTACTATTTACTTGTTGCTACATCAAGGAAATTATCGTGTTTGGCTTCACTGATTGGGATTTGTTTTTAAACTACCTACATTACATTGTATAAGAGAGGTAAAGACGAGAGTGCAAGTAGGGTGGATTTATGACAGAAGGACAGCAGAGAGTTTACAAGATAGTAGTGAGAGCTGCTATGATGCACATTTTGGAGACAGCGGCACTGGCAAAGAAGCAGGAGGCCAAGCTGGAGGTGGTGAAGCTGCTCAGATTTTTGTTGGGAGTGACTAGAAGGGACAGGATTGTAAATGAGTACATCACAGAGAAAGCTTAAGTTCAGCATCTTAGAGACAAGATGGAGATGGACATGGGCATGCAGAGGGTTGATGTGACGGAAGAGGATGTAAGGGATAGAGAAAGTGGAGCAGCCAAAAGAAGAAGAAGACTTAAATTTCCTTGTTTGATGGAACAAACGTGGATTACCTAATAGCTATTTACTAACAAGGTGTAGCTGCTTATAACACTAGCTTCATGGGGTATGCTTAAAGAATACAGCTGCGGTCAGAAGCTAACATCCACTCATCATGTGCATAAATGTCGTGGCAATTTGGGCTTTTAATGATTTCTTTGAACTGTTCCTTTCCAGGGTGAAATGACTGTACAGCATACATGTTTAATGACTTTAAAAACAAAGAATCTAGTGCACAAGCTTGAATTTCTTTTGGATTATCTCTAATCCACACAGCGTCAAAAGCAACATAAGACTTCAAATATGTACATATACCCACACTACTATTTGGTTCATTGCACCTGAAGCTTTTGGTAGCCAACAGCAATCATATGGCATTTTTCCCTCTGGATATTTGACCTCTCTTCTTGGCAGAATAGTTAATTTAGACTGGTTGGTTTCCTGTCAGGAACAAGCTTTTAATATATTCTACAAATGTTCAATAGAGTGGAGGTTGGGGCTTTGGGAAGGTCATTGCAGAAGCTTAATGTTAGCTTGCCTTATCCATATCAAACCCAGTTCTGATGTGTGTTTGGGGTCATCAGTGGAGCACTCGACTCTGTCCAAGTTTCAACCATCTAGTTGCTGATCTGAGGTTGAAGACCTTGGAGGTAGTCCCACTCTTCACAATCAGTTCAAAGAAATCATTAAAAATCCCCAAAATAACCATGACTATGATGAGTCCTTAAACATCTGAGCTTAACTGTGTATTTCTGTAAAGTTTGTTACCAAATGTTTGTGCTGATGGCTGCTCGGTGTAAAGACATATACTCCCGGCTGGCTAAAGACCACAGCAAAGCAGCTAGGAGGAGTCCATGACAATGTCAGCTCTTCTTTTAACTGTCTGAATGCGCCCCAGTCAAAGTCAGTGTTTGTGTTGTACAAGTTGTCACTGAAAGACATAAATAAGCGAGTTGGGAGAAAATGTACAAACAGAGAAATGGCAGGAGAAAATGGGCATGAAAACAAGTATCCGGCTTACATGTCATACTGGGGATAGTGACGTGGGCTGACAGTGAAGAGTATTACATCACCCAAATGGAGACATGCTGTCGGGTTCAAAACGCCACTTATGCTTGGCCTTCTTCCTTTTCCATTAATATCAGCCTTATCTCCTCTCTCCATTTCTGTGTCTCCATGACTGATGTTTCTAATACTGACATAATGTTTCCCTGAAAATCCACAATGCAGTGCCCTCATTATTGCAGCAATTACTTGGGTAAAATTGCTCATGCATTCATTTGTGTATTCATGATGTGAAAAGATTGTTTTATTATGGCACACCAGCTGAGCTCTGAGAATCCTGTTGAGCGGTGTCAGGAAACAGTCGCTCAAGTTCCTTTGGGAGGCCGCTGAGGAGGCCAAGGAAGCCTGCATCTGCAATCAGACAGGAAGAAGACAGATAGATAGGGGGAGGGTTCTCAAAAAGAGAGAGAAAGAGAGGGAGAGCTGCAAAGCGATAAAGTGCAGGACATAAAAGGCATTGTGTGCGGCTGCGTCTCCACCTGTTGTTTGAACAATGTAGACAGGACGTGATGACTGGATCTGGCTGCTGCACTGCAGGTTCCCTTGGGAGTCCCACTGTTTAAAAATTGTCTCTAGCACACTGCCAGAGATGCTCGACACCTGAACACACACAATAAGTGTGTTTGCCATTAATAGGTCACTGCAGCACTGTCTGCAGCTTTCTCTTTTGGAGAAATAAAGAGGTTTTCGCATAGATGCGTGCATATTATACCTAAAAACTGTCCATCATATGATAGTTTCAGTGCAAATGTTACATTATATAGTTATCGCACAGTTTTTGTGCTTCAGTGCATGAACCTGCAATTTCCTTTCTTCACCTGATTGTCATAGCTCCACACCAGTCCCATTTCCCCATTGGTCTCGCACTGGAGCTTCAGTTCAGCAGCTGCCCTGCTCCTGCAAAGGCCTCCACATGCAGCTCTTCCAGGAGGCTCTCTACAAATACACAGGCCCAGCTCCCCATCAAAACCCCGGTAGTCCTCTGCAGTATGGCACACCTGCAGGAAAAAAGCAGAGCAAGAATCAGCTCACAGTTTTTAGTGGTCTCCTTTCTAAACAGAAAGAACAGTGAAAGCATTGCTAATGAAGTTAGAGTTTCATGCAGTAGTTAATGGTTAAATGCTAAGTGGACTTAATATGAGTCTGTGCTAGGTAAACTATTGTCAGGTTCATGTAAGAGAGGGCAAAGACATCTGGTTTGTACTCATTAGCCTTGCTTAATATGTTTAGTCAGTGTGTTCTGTAAACAGGCTGCAGTTTAAAACTGAACTTGTGTCACATATCTTGAGCACGAGTTTCCTGTCTAATGTCATTTTGTGGCGGAACCTTTGCCCTACTTTGACTGTATACATCTGATTATGACATGATTGCACAATGCATAACCTGCTGACTACAGTGAAATGACCACTGGTGTCTGTCCCGGCAGTCTCCATACTGTGTGCGAGTTTTTCCGTCTCTGCAGACATCGTACTGTTGTTGTACACATTTGTCTCCATTTCCGGTGGTTTGATAGCCGATGGTGCAGTGGCAACGTCCATCACTGGCCTGTGGAAAACTCAGGGGGATAGCAGTTCATGCTGTGGTCAGTTTGTTACCTAATATTCCAAAGTGCTCATTCATTCATTCCTTCATTCATTGACACACACAGACACACTGCACTTTGAACCTTACTACATATCAGAGTATTATTATTGCTCAGTCTGAACATTGATTTTCCTGTCCTTCCTTTTTTATACAACTGTATACACAAACACCGATATGACAGCGAGACAAATCTCATTTCTGTTAGTCTGAGCTGATGAAAGAATATCTCAACACCTGCGCGCACTGCAGTAGGCTAGGAAATTTGACCCTGAAGTGAGGAAACTTGATCAGAAGCTATTGAGCTTGAAGCTACAGATTGTTCTGTCGAATGCTTCAGAGGGAAAGTGAGGAAGATACTCTGCCGACTATAAAAGTGTTCACACTGGAACACGGCTTTCCTAACACAAAAAAATACAGGCTTGAGAAATTTGAGCTCTTCCTTGGGTTTCATTTATAATGGATGAACTCAAAAGACAATAAAGGAAGTGTGTGACAAGCGCTGTCGAAAGCTGTGATGTGTCAGATGAAGTCAAATGAAAACAATGGGGAGAACACATAGATACACTTAACCCACAATCTACACAAATATCCAGGTGGATCCTTCAATCATGTGAAAAACACTTCAACAAAACAAGCCAGTGAACAACACCTGAAAACTCTGTCCTTCTTCTGGACAGATGCAAGTGTCCTGGCCAGGCACAGGCTGCTGAGCCACTGGACCACAGGAAAGTGGGGAATACAAGCCGGGTCTAGGGCAGTAGTGATGGGCAGGACACTTCAAGCAGCTGTCCATGGACACAGCTCCAGCATGTGGACCATATGTTCCTTTAGGACAGGGGACTGGAGCAGGGCTCCCCAGTGGGCAGTAGAAACCTAATAGAAACAATAACATCGTGTCACACACACACACACTATAAAACAAATCTTTTGCCATCCATTTTTCTTTATTCTCTTTATTTTTGCGTTGTTGCAATGTTTTCCAGAATAATGCCACTTTATTATGCACTCAAAACAGCCTACCTGGCTGACAGCGTGGTCTCTCCTGGTTATGTCCACTGAAGTTGTTTCCATGAGTCACAGTTAGCAGCACAGAAGCAAACAGCCACCGCAGAGAAGCTAACCCCATGCATTTGCAAGTTTGCTGCATTGTTAATATGTCCACCATTGAAGTAAAAACCAGATGAACATTAATCCCAACTCTATTCCAGACTGTGGAAGGAAAAAATGAATAATTTAATCCATGATCCTTGTTTTCATCATAGACTGGAAAGTACTTCTAGAGATGCTGCAAACCCACAGAGATGCAAGGTAAGTAGTGTGCTAGTTAATCTGCATAACTTTCAATGGCTTGCTGAAAAATTTATAAGGCCAGTAAGGTAAGGTGACAGTAAGAGTGGAGTGACTGGTCACTGGTGGAAAGCAGCAAAGAAAAACAGACTGATGCTGCCTGATCACATTACTGCTTTTGTTCTTCTCAATGCTACCATGATACTGATTAATGATTTGGCTCCTGAGGTACAACAACGCAGCTTTGCTTTAGAGGAGTCTACTGAGAATGAGGTGCGTCTCATCTAAGAGAGGATATCAATAAGATTTTTGTATAGAAATGCCACTGCAGATTCTGCTTACAGGTCAAATTCTTTATTGATTTCCTTATTGATTCCTGAAAAAATGTAAGTCTACATGGGTTTTCAGGGTCAATGCAGCTTCATTATCTCTGAGTTAAAAACAGCATGGAAACACAGAAGAATAAAGGCTTCCCAGAAACTGGGTTGTACAAAAGCTCCACTGCTCGGAGTTTCACGTCATTGTTTTGTGACGTGAGACTGTCAGAAAAACACACCAGCACTGATAAAAGGAACAGAGAATCCAGAATCCTGTTATTTCCAGAATCTTTTTAGCTTGCAACCAGTTCTCAAATACCATTCCCATTCACAGAGGCAACTTTTAAATTCACATAGTATGACAAGTATGGTATGGATAACTGATCAGATCAAGAGTCTGTCATTGTGCAAGCTTTAGCTTCACCTGCCGATGAACCAGTCTCACAAACCTGTCGAATGCTGCGTTGTCCGTGTGTGTTTACTTTCTGATAGCTGCTGCAAATTAGCTGAAAGTGGAATGAAACTAAGGTCAAGGTCTGTGTGGCTCAAAAGCGACAGATCATTTGCATCAACAAATGCCACTTTTATCTGTGAACTGATTAAACTGCCCATTGATCATCAGCAATCCAGGTTGTTGTTATATAAAGTGTAATGATCTGACGAGTTATTTCCATGCAATTTTATTTTAATGTTAAACAATATCATCATTTTCTAGAAATATACACTCGTGGTTATACATCCATGTGCCCTCAGCTCACCATATACGTGTGACAAGAGTCACATATGCTCAAACTCTTCAGTGCAAAGAGGAGCCAACAGGTCCATTGTTGTGTACAGTAACCAAAGTCTTTCTCACTCTGTGCTGTTTTTGTAGTGAAATAGATACTGGACTTTAGATCATACGAATAACCTAGATATTCCACTAGGGTAGCCATGAACTATGATCTTCTGATGACTACTCGCAATTTATCTAACCGAGCAGCGTTCAACTTTCACCCACATACGCGTGTCACTGGTGGGAAAAGCCTGCACATTTCACTTACCAAAAAACAGTAAACATAGCCAACAAAGAACTGCTAAATAATATCACAGATTTTATTACCAGCAGCATAAAAATATAAAAAGCAAAAGCAACTCAAAAGTTTAAAAGGACCTCCGCGCTGTTTACATGAGTTGTTTTTTTCTGTTCTTACAAGCAGCACAAACACTGATGAGTAAACTCTTCTCTGTCAAGCATCCAAAGCAATCCATGATAAACTAAAGCTTGGTGAGCTGGTCCAAAACGCATTTCGTTGAACTGTTACACAATTTAAAGACTACAAAACACACAACAAACAACTTTTCGTCGGGAATGATGCATAAAAAGCCATAACCTTGACTGCAAGTCAAACAAGTTACTCAGTGCAAATATTCACGTAGTCTGGGTTCTTGTAAAATGAGCTTTTGACGTAAAAAGACAGAAATCAGGCCAAAGTTCACATGTGTCTGCAAATAACATTGTTAAACTTGTTTGGGTCACCCTAATAAATCCAAACCCCTGCAAGAATTCAAGGTAAAATGTCCACACTTGGGAGGAATGAGACCTTTCCATGAACTATAGACTGACATTTACCTCTTGCACAGATTTCTTCTTTTTTTTGCTTTTTAGCATGGAGGTAAGGACAAAGACATTTTAAGGCCTTTTAGAACAAAAGAATGAAAGAGGTACTAAGCAAAGAGCAAATTCTTCGTCTAAAATATCCACTATTCTTCATTTGCACATCATCTGTGCCAACCATCTCAACCTTGCCTCTCTAACTTTGTCTGTCAGTCTGTGATAGACTCATCCTGGTCATGTCCTCATTTTTGGCATCTGCAGCTCAGCCTCCTGTGAAGTGAATCTAAAAAAAAGTGTCACAAAAAGAGGTTGTTTATCACATGCATGTATTTGAATTCTGGGAGGAAGCCTGAGTACCTGGAAGAACCCATGCTAGCACAGGGAGAATGTGCCAAATAGTGCTAGGCGGTCGGTGGCTTCTCAGACTCAAACTCCAGCACACCCCTGTGCTCTCCTTTCATTAAACAACATGTAGTCATGCAATCTGAACTAGTTCATTATAATGTGAACTTTGAGCTAGCTGCCTCTTGTGCAGTGTAAACTTACCCACTGGGTTTGTAGGCTTTGTTTTTGCATTTTGATAATTACCCTTTTCTTGCTGGGGGTTGTAGCCAGGAGTGAAAATGTTTTTACAAAAGGGGGTAGATGGACTGAAACAAGAGATCCTGTCTAAACTTTGCATGCAAACGCTAAGGTACAGCTGGAAACTAGCACTAGCTAGCTTGGGTGAAAAGGTTTTCATGTAATTCATAAAATGAACATCAGACTTCTTTAAGTATAATCTTGAAAGCTGCTTTTAGGTGCTCCAAATGTTATCAGTCATCTCCCGTGACAGTGTAGAAGGGGCAAAGGTACAAAACGCTGCCATAAATAGGCCAGGCTACACCTTTGTTACTTGAAATAATGGCTTCTCAATCACAAGGTAGCCACAACCTATAGCATACACATCTTACTTACATTTTTCTGCTATAAATCCAACTATAGTATGCAAATTGCATCCCACACTGTATTGAAATGAGTGTCTGAGACCAGAAGCTATTGTGGTATCAAATCAAATGAGAACGAGAATGAGTTCAGTACAGTCAGACTCTTTATTTTTTCTTTTCACTAGTGGAGTTAGGCTTTGCTGGATATTAGGGTTACAAGTGTAATACACTTTCAAGCATTTGCAGACGTGAAGGCCATTTCTTCCGTGCAAGGTGTGTTTCTAACTTACTTTAGGCTTTTTTTTCACTCAAAATTCCAAAGGTAGTAAAATTCTATCATCAGTGTGACCCTCCACGTGTTGACTGTTGACATAAGCAGAGTTGGGGCAGCTGCTCTGATAACAAGGACTTTATAAGTCAGATGAGATGAGCAGTCAGTCCACACACCCCTGATACTCAGGTAAAGACATACTTACATGCATAATGTGCTTATTTTTGTACTGGGAGAAGAATATATTGAAACGTTCTTATAGTTATATGTTTTGAGGGTAAAATTCTAATATTTTTCTATCATCTGTCCTTCTACAGAAAGATGAACATGCATTTAAAAGTTGTAATCTTTGCTGTGTCCTTCCTGACAACTTCAGGTATGTTTATCTCCTCCTTTCCTCCTTTTTCTTCATTTTGCCATGTGATTCTTTATTTATGTAGATTTATGCTTTTTTTAAAACTATAGGATACCCACTACACAGTGACAGCAGAGAGCCAACGTGGTCTAATGGAAAGACCAACCAAGCTCATGATAAGGCAGACCTCACAAAAGATTTGCAGTAAGTTGTCTTCATGAACGACCATATCTTCAGTGTCTAAAGACATATGCAAATATAAATACTTGCTTATTACTATTTTGTAGCATATAACCTGTCTTCACACGTTATAATTCAGTTCTTCTTTCTTGATTTCTGCAGAAAGGTTTACAAGAGCAGCATAGACAGCAGTGCACTTTACAACCAAGAACATGATGACAACCCTGTGGCAGAGGAAATGCAGCGCAAGCTCGCCATGGAGTCGGAGCGCCTGCGCATCCGTCTGCGTCAAGAGCTGGTGGAGCTGCGAGAGAGGCTGTCCCCATCTTCGGCGCATCTCAGTTCCCGCCTGGCCAGCATGAGAGAACGCTTAACTCCCCTGACTCAGCAGCTCCAAGGCTCTCTTAGTAGCAACAGCCAAGATCTGTGCAGCCAGCTGGGTCTCTATCTACAGGCTTTAGAAACAGCTGAGGCTCAGGAGGAGGCCAGTCCGTCTCTGTATCAGGAAGCCTTCGAGTTAATCAGCCAATCCCTGGAGCACAGCAGTTTTAAGTTTGCTAACACCATCAGTGACTTTTATACCAAAGCAAGTGGAGTGATTGAACATCTGAAACAGACTAGTGATCGTGAAGAAGAGCCAAGCACATCAAATGTATGGCTGGAAATGAGCTCCAAGTTGGGACAGGAAGTGAGTTCACTTAAAGAGGAGGCACAGAACAGAGTGGAGGCCCTGAAAGTACAGCTTTCTGCAGTGCTACAATCTGCACAACCTCATACAGCAGAAGTGAGAGGTAGCATAGAGCAGTTCTGCCAAAATGCATCCGTGGAGGTCCAAGTGCTTCAAGCTCGAATGGAAAGGCTGTTCACAGGGCTGGAAAAGGAGCTTGGGGTCCCAAGAGCCTCTAGCGCGACTTCTTCTTCATTTACACTCCAAAGTGGCTCTTTGCGGGAGGACTTCTCAGTTAAGCTCTCAGCTCTGATTCAGGACATTATGCAGTCAATGCAGTGACTACAGAAATCTGTATTCCTTTTCATTTATTTGTTTGTTTGTTGCCATTGTAGCAGCTCAGTGAGTATGTTGTAAATATGTCTGAAAGTGTGAATTTGATGCATTTGTCTCATTCTGTATGTGACCCGGTGAGGAATTGTCAATATGTATATATATGTATATATATGTATATATATATCGCTGTCTTTTGAGAGTAAAGGTATTCATGACACTGTACAAATGACCCTTTCTTTCTGTCAATTAATTATTGCATGTCAGTCACAGAGTCTCTGAGTTTCTTTGTTTGTTTGTGTTTATTTAAAGCATATACTTTATTTGCTTATAAGCAGTTGAGATTCTATAGAAGACATCTTACAGAAAAAACATCTTGTAGACAAGTATAATCAAAATTTATTTCTATTGCCATAAAATATCAGAATTACTTGTTTTTTAATTGCTTTACAGTTCAAGTTTGACTTTCCCTTCACAACTGACAACTAAGTATGGATACAAAATTATATTTAATAGGATGAAAACTACAACATTATCAGATTTTACCTCACAATCTACAGCACTATGCAGCTTCAGCATTGTACAAGGTGACAATGCAAAGAGAATTGGCTGGTTGATCTGTCAGTCCAGTGCAATTAAACAGCTTCAGAACAAACCAGCCACCAAGACCCAGCAGGACAGCAGGCGCATAGTCAGGCCTGTCATGTTATGGCCATCGCTGCCTGAAGTCACGGTATTACCTGATGCACACAAGAAGAGATGAATTAAGTTTGCTTTTTGAATTATGAAACAATATTAAGATGTATTTATGAGTCTAACTAAAGTATACTCACTGTCTTCTGCATTGGGAGAGTCTTTAATAAAGTAAAAGAAAAACGGAAAGTGAGAAACTTTGTAACTTAAGTATTCTTGGAAAATCGCAAGAAAAGAATAAAAATATGTTTCAAACCTTTAGCCATGTAAAGAGGTCCGACTGAAATGGTAGTTGATTCGCTGCTTTCTTTACCAAAAGGAACCAAAGACCTTTTTCTTCTGTTATTAGCACAATTCTGAAAATGTTTAACACAAAACATGTGGAAACTATGGATTTATAATATACATGTTAAGATAGGGATGAGCCTACAGCCCCAGGGATTTAGTGGCCCAACTGTGAACCACAAAGTGTTGCTGGTGGAAATAACAATCTCTTTCCTGCCAAGTTCTATAAAACCATTAAGTAATATATATTATATATTATTAAATATTGTCTGTGGTATCTTTTCTCTACCATGACTTTATCTGCTGTTTCAAAGAATGCGCTCATTCTTGACTTTTCAACTTACTTGAAATTACCTGAATTTGTTGACATTTGCTAGGCTCACAGAGTCTCAGCATGCAGTGCACATAGATGCTGGACTTTGCCTGGTCATGGTGCTGAACAAAGCGGAAGGCCTCAAAGTTAAACCGGGCAACCGTGGAGACGCCATTGCTCGTCACAGTCGTCCTGTTAGCTATATTGCAGCTGGTGGAAAGTGTTTTTTTTTTTTATTAGAGACATGAAAATATCTTAATGTACAGTTACACTGTGCTAGTGTGCGCTTTCTTACCCAGTGAAGAAGTCATACTGCACGCTCTGTGGCATATTGTAAGGAGTTGGAGTAGCAAAACAACGATCCAAGAGTAAATTGAAACTAAAAAAAAAGACAATACTGAATCAACAGGAATGAAGTCTGATGAGTTCGTTATGAGCATCCGAAAGGCATTTACTTACTTTTGTGTCAGATTATCAGCCTTGACCTCCACATATAACTTGGTTCGCAGCTCAAGTCCTGGTGGAGGCACCACTAACGGATAGTTATAGTTAGAGTCCTAGAAAAAGAGTGTCAGAGTAAACCAAGTCATTAGAAACACATCTGATTTGTGTCCTCATGAGCTGACTGATAATTTATACCTACGTTAAAAACACTCATTTTGAGTGAATCGATGAAGGTCCCATTATTGTTGCTGGTTGCCACAGAGACTGAGGAGCTAGAAAAATAATTGAAAACATGCAAAAAAAGACAGAGAAACATATGGTAACTTTTAGATTTGCTGTATAAATGCGCAATAAGAAACACATCTCTGGAGTAAGTATATCTGGTTCCTCACGCTGTAATCTGTGTATTGTTCAAAAGGTATTGCAGTGGATATCGGCAGGAGAAGTGGTAATAGAGATCTGTGGAGTAGCTGATCAGCCCCTGGTCAGATCTAGGTGTGTTAATGTATCCTGTAACAATAACTGCCTGGATACTCGAGAAGCTGCTGAAGGGACCTGAAGGGTCTGGATTTTCATCTACAATCTAAGAAAGATAGAAAGAGATACGATTGTGGTTCATATATGCTGCTAAACAGTTTCCCAAAAAGCAGCCAGATATCTAACATCTGGCAGCTCCATTTTCCAGATATGTGTCATTTTTTGCCAATCTCTCCATTCTCCAATATCCAATAACCTGCAGAGACTGGCGACAGGAGTTATCCTGACTCTGGTTGACAGGAAGCTGGAAATGGACGACCGGAGGGTTCACACTGGTGTCCACAGAGCCCTGGCACGCTGTATTACTGTACTGCCCATTCAGTGCTAGCTCTGTGGCATTGAAGCCAGCCCACTGAACTGTGCATAGGTTGATGTCCAGGGTAATCTTGCTGGTGCCACATTGAACCATTAGGTCTGAGTTTTCTGCGAAAGAAAGAAATTTTAAAAACCCTGGGAGTTAAATAGTTGTTTAATTTTATATATTAATAATGTGATTTTTTTTTTTTAATTAAAAGGTTAAATGATTATGATTTAGTGGCTGCCATGTTTAAAGCCTAAATCTTGTACAGCTAAATAAATATCTACCAAATTTGGTCAAAAAGTTTTAAAAAGAGCATTATTTTTGTTTTCTTAATAGCACTGATATTTTATTTGTTGAAAGTCACACAAAAAGTACCTGGGGTCCTTTGATATTCAGAGGAGCAGTTATAGAGGCACCGAACAGGCTGCAAAAGCATCACCAGCAGGGGGAGACAACGGTAAAGAGCCATAATGGCAGTTCCTGTAAAAGGAGTAAAACAACAGTAGCAACAGTTATTTTTATTATTTTATGTGAAAAATGTGTAAATAAGTTGCTGTTTTTCTACTAGATGATTCCAATGTTTATAATAAGGTCTACAATCATGTGGAAAGGTCCGGAGCCACACTTCATTTCTTTAGAGAAGCCAGACGCTTTTGTAATTTCTTTTTAAGTGGTCTTGAACAGTTTTCTGGGGGGGTTTTCTTTTAATTTCACTGACCTATGATAATAGTAGATAACCTATCAGAGAGCCAATTTTAAATTGTATCATGCCTGGTATATCACAGTATGCAGTCCTTAAAAAAACAGAGGAGGACAAAAGAAGAAGTGGTAGGCCTAAAAAACTATCTACAGCACATGAACAAAATCTGAAAATAATGTCCTTAAGAAATTAGATAAATACAGCAATGACCTGACATGGGACCTGAGAGATGCATCTGGCCCTTTAGCGAATTCATCTACTGTTCACTGAAGCCTCGTCAGAAATGGTCTCAGTCGAATTCTGGCTGTCAAGAAACCATTCTCAAGGAAGGAAATGGGGCGAAAAGGATGTTTGCCAATTTACACAAGAACTGGACTGAAAATCAGTGGCATCTTGACATGGAGCTGACCAAAAGGCAACCACCATCCAAAGAAAAGCTTTGAGCTTCAAGAAGCCTGAAGAACTATTCTTTAAGACTACTTAACAATAGATGTATCATTGCACCAATTTCCCATTTCCACATTACTGTATTTTTAAAAAATGACAATTGACTGAATCCTTTTTCACAGTACTGCATATAATTCTTTATTTTAGGAAGAGACCTATGCAACAACCAGAAGAGGGTCTTACCTTGGTGATACCTGAGCAGGTGCTTGTCACAGTATTTGAGATATATGGCTTATATAGTATTCAGGATACATACCACAGTTGCGTGACTCAGTAGCCCTCCCTTTGTCTAATTTTAGACCCCTACACACACACACACACACACACACACACACACACACACACACACACACACACACACACACACACACACACTTTCCCCTATCTTTGTGTACTGGGACTTGTGTGACACAGCTCCCGCAGGTTAGCTGCAACTGTTGTTTCGGGTTTCTTCCATCAGAAATCATTATCAAAGAACAGAAGTTAAATATAGCTGTCGGCTGTCGCACCTTCCTGCAATGAGGCAAGTGAGGTTTAAACCTTGATGCAGTGTGCATATTTGGTTGTTGAACTTTTCAACTGACTTTAGACAAAGTGAGCCACGGACACTTTTCTCCCTTACTTCTTACAAAAATCAGGCAACATTACTGAAGACCTGCAGGTTTTTCATTATCATATTGCAGCTAATGTTTCTAATAAAAAAATGCCTGAAACACATGCAGAGCAAATGCATTTTACAAAGCAGAACCCAGGCCAATGCATAAATTTAATAACTGAGATCCTCCATCGACTTGCAAATAATTCAAGAATCAGATTTCAAAAGCAAAAGCAAAAAAACAAAAAGACTAAACATACATGCTTCAAGAGTGGCTTTATCTCTTGAGAATTATGCACAATGAATGCTTGAGAGGTGATCTTGCCACAACAGCCTATTAAAAACTTGCTGTTAGTTCCCCTTGCATGTCAGACTTATTTCAATCTTGATAGAACTGCATTGCCTATAGACTAGATACCTATAGGCCATAACTGTTACAACTCTACTGAGAACACCCATTGTTCACTAGTAATATAGAAGAAAATTAGCTTAGTGTTCTGCTAAAGAGCCCAAGGTGAAAGAAAACATTTGTCACTCTATCCAGTGTCACTCTGTCCTGATTTTTACCTCAGAGGAAACTTGTTTAGAAAAAATTCACAGGCCATTCTTCCACTCCTTAGTCCTTGTATTGTTATATTTTTTTCCTGCAATGACCTTGACTGCACACATGGTTGTAGTGCTTTTTGATAGAAAGTGTGGTTGGTTTGTTTGAATTGTTGTACCAAGTGTGAAATAAATAAATAAATAAATAAATGAAATGAAATCAGTGAATTATGCAAGTAGAATGATTCAGTTCAAATCCGTTTTATTTATATAGCACCAAATTACAACAACAGTTGCCTCAGCACATTTTATATTGCAAGGTAAAGCCCCTATAATAATATACAGAAAACAGAGAACATGATGGTCACATGTCCAGAGGTTAATGGGTCAGCTTTAGCCACCTATGTCTCAAACACTGGACATGTGTGGCTTAATCTTAATATTTAATAGTTTATCTTAATACTTAATGTTTATCTTTATAAAGACTAAGATTAGGTATCAAACCTATTTCATTTAATAAGCTTAACAGAAGCACTACTACTGTAAAATATGTGAATTTTACTGTGAAATTAACTTGCCTGATGCATCAATACATTGCTCCCAGAACAGGGGCTGAAATCAACTGTAGTGTCACCATCTTTAGCAGGGTATGTTTCACAGACCACACAGGATTATCATGACAGTGAGCTCCAACAAGGATTTGTGTGCAGCTTTACTGGCTCCTTTCAACAAGAACTATAATGGTTACTGACATATAATCACACTAGAAAAGTATAAAACCAGGGCACAAGAGAAGGCAAGGATTTAGATTTGGAGGAAAGAAGATACGCTGGGAAGCTTGTGAGAAATTGGTACTGTACTCTGCAGACATGTACTGCAGAGAAAATCCCCACTGTTACAGATAACCCCTCTGGGTGGGAATATAGAATATCACTTGGACAAGAAACTGAGAAACTTGTATGTTTAATAACATTTGTAATGCTTCGTTGTTGGAGAGGGTTCATTTTTTATTTATTTTGACAACTTGTAATAAATACACAGATAATTGCTCCTATGACATAATGCTGTAATCATCTTACACTGTAAAACAAATCCTGAATGGGTTTCAGTTGCTTTTGATGGTAACAGATATTGTGTTGGTTACTCACATCAAGTGGCAGAAGAAGAAGGATGAGTAAAACTACCAAAGCAGTGATCCCACTAGAAAAAAAAAAAAAAATATATATATATATATATATATATATATATATATATATATATATATATAATTATATATATATATATTAGGGGTGCAACGATACACAAAATTCACGGTTCGGTTCGATACTTTGGTGTCACGGTTCGATATTTTTTCGATACAAAAAAAATGTTCATGCATTTTTAATTTGTCATTTATTAAAATTATAAATATATATTTTAACTCAAAAGTACAGTTTTTAAATTTAACCCTAACCCTTGTGCGCGTTTTTTATTTTGACAGCGAATGCGCACCTGCGGACCACTTATGTGCAGCCCTGGTTATTTAGCTCGTCATATTGCAGCCACAGAAATTCTTTTGTCATTGAAACCATAAAGCTGCACTTTCTTTTTGCCTTATAGTCTGATTTGTCATAACTTCTCCGTTTTGTGGTAAGCTTTTCTTTGGCTGTCACTTCTTCACCCTGACCTGTCTTATTTGGCTCAGCAGAACTAATATATATCCTGCTGCTTTTACACACGCACTCACATAAGCTCAGCGATTCTCTGCGCGATCAACCTCTCACATGTTTAAGCTTGCTGCGGGAGATTTCACTTGTCATGTTTGCATATAAGCTAACGATTAATAAGACAATGTCAGAGGAATTGGTGCACAAATTATCATCACTCACAGATCAGTGCTGTCGCTCTCTATACACAGTTCGCACGATTGCAAAGTGAAAGCAAAAAAACAAGCGCAAATTCAAACGCGATTTCAATATGTCACATATTGACAGTGGCTCACCGATGCCAATGACATAATTACCCAGCTACATTTCTGAAAGAATGCAAAAGCATTGACATATATTTTTCCTACAATAGCCCGACGGGCAGGGAAGAGATAGATTTTGGTAGCCCGACTGAAAAAATCGCTAGCCCCAGGACGTCAGGCTAGCGATATTGCGAGCCCTGTATCTGATTGAGGAATCACTCATCTTTGGAAAAGAGAGTTTATTACAGAGAAATGGCTCTTTCCAAAATAAAAGCTATACTATCCGCTTCTTCTGGGCTATATTCTCAGCAGCATAAGGAGAATCATGTGCTAACAGCTGTCTAAATGACTCGGCTAAAGTTAGTAGCATGCTTGTTGTTTTTGTCTTTGCACTAGGATGATGTCGGTGTAAATGTGCAGTCATATTCGTTGTGTTCCCACTAGTGCTTTCAGGTTAATCTCGTTGAAATGACCTTAACGCCACAACACGGCAAATCTCCGTTAACGAGCTACCGCCGATCGCTCCGTGCATGGGGCTAGACGGCCAACACGTTAACGAGCTAACTGCGCTAACACACTAGTTCACACCAATGTAATTGAGCATTACGTGGCACATCCAACATACTGTTTTACTTTAGTCCATGACTCGCTTACCTTCAGGGTCATACGTCACATGAAAACCAAAATAATTCCAAACGCCAGATCTGAATGAGGGTCAATTTGCCTGTTGCAAGGAGAGCTTAACTTCTGTCTCGCTAGCTTGCCCTGTGCTCTTCCTTCTGACAATGCTGTCTGTGTGGAGCGCTCAGTGGATCTGCGCTCGACAGTGCAGCCTAGGCGGAGTAGTCGAACACAGATTCACTGAGCGCTCCACACAGACAGCATCGTCAGAAGGAAAATTGATAAAATAAATTACAAATGTTGTATTGTTCATACATATGCGTACCGAACCGAAAGCACTGTATCGAACGGTTCAATATCGATACGAATATCGTTGCACCCCTAATATATATATATATAATTAATATTATTGCTGAACTGTACTTAAAGTAAACAAAAGTAAAAGCATTTGTTCTACATAAAAAAAAATCCTCTGCAACAAATAAGTGATTTCAGGAATGGCTGATGGTTTGTTACTAGAAACCCACAACTCTCAAGTTTAACCACATGTTAATGCCGCATTAAATCCAGTTCTACCAAATAAATGTAAAAGTTTTCTTTAACTTTTCTGTAATGTGTTACTTTTTTGTAACGTACAAGAAAATATAATTATTTACATAAATAAATCTTTTTTCATAAATAATAATAAATATGGACCTTTTTCAGATCACAAACTGCTCTACGAGATCAGGTAAATGAAACGCAAGTAAGAAATGTATGCGATAAAAAAGACCATTCAAATTAAAGACTTAGTTTTCAGTCAAGGTAGGAAGTGGTGCTGCAAAAATAATCAGTACAATCTTAAAATCGATTCCAATGCATACTGATGTGATCCCATCACTTTGCTCAAGTTCAAATCATGGCACCTGAGTTCTGTATAGTCTGCAGTCACTCAGTAGGTTAGGAAGTAAAACAGTCATTGTAGTAATCTAGATGTTAAGAGACAAAAGCATGTAAAATAGTCTGTGTCTTTAACCTTCTAGGACCCTGCGTCCACATATGTGGACATCACATTTGGGGTTATTTAGACCAAAATACTAAATCTTGCTCTACAAGGGCCTGATATCCCCTTACAAGGACATTATACTGCCACTGTTCTATCGAAATTTTAAATGAATCCTCATATGTGGCTCTCATTTTTCTTACAAACAAAAATCAGGTAAAAAAAAAAAATCTGGCAATTCTTTGTTTTTACCTTCATCAGGTCCCAATCATCCCAAATATCAAAGAGAAATTAAAAATGCATGCCATGAAAGAGTTTGGGTCTTAGGAGGTTAAATATTAAAATGGGTCTTACTTTTGAAATATTTCCATAAGTAAAGATTAAAACATGACTGTGTTAGTTTACAGGCTTAAAAGTAAATAGTTGGAAGAAAAAAAATGAGTGTAGTTGGTAAGTAAGGATAATATTTTCTATTTTAAGTTTGGTATCCAAAGTAAAGAAAAAAAGCTGAATACCTGAGTTGATGTGAGTCATTACTTTCTGGACACTTAAACAGTTTAAACCATGAATGGGAGTGGCTGCTTAACCTTACTTCTGTGTGGTTTGGTGTCATCTGCTGGGCAAAATTAGACAGAGTTCAAATGCTTTGTTGTTGTTGGGTCTGGGTTACAACTCGTGATTTGCCAGAGCTGAAGAGTTCAAACCAAGTGACACAACTTCCACTCCAGCAGAGTCACTCAGAAAGTTCGAATAAATATCCAATAAAGCGATACATGAAAAATTCAGGTACAATTTTTTTTAATGAAGTTTACATTAGTGGATTCATTATGTTTGTCTTGCTTATTACGAGCTGTGCAAAGCAGTGAAATCCATAGGTCTATTTATTGTATTGTATGGATATAATTGGCACTTTGAAATAGGCTTAGTATCGCCTAACATGATGATGGATTTAAGGTGGATCCTGAGCTCGAGGTGTTGTAGTTGTAAGTTGTATTTTATGCAGCTTTGCTACTAAAATAGTCCCTCCTATATTATTTTCACGTTTCCAAACTTAAAAGATGAATCTGCCAGTGTCTCTGCAATAATCCTGAAGGGGTTGCTTGCAAAATAACAATTCTGGTTTACAGTCTAGCATTTGAGTCCTCACATGAAGTTATCCACGTTGCATTCCTGTGCTGAGCAAATAAGATTTGAGCCTGTTGCCCGATAATAAACTCAATGATGATGTGAGGAGAGGCTCAACAGTGGCAGGGTTTATAACACACAGTCACAGCTCTTCATCACATGACAAACGTTTGCCTTCACCAGCCAATAATCAAATTTACTGCACAGGCAGCAAAAGACCAAAATGAAGGAGAGGAAATCAGTCCAGAGGCTCAGTCTCTCTAGAGATACCCACATGACCGACACAGCTGTGTCACCAACAAAGAGACAGCCAGCGAGACTGCTTGATCCCAGGTAGCAGACCACATGCCTTACTAACCTATGATTATCTGTCCTCTCTCAGCTCTCCACAGAATGGTATTTTTACTCCACTTCCAAGGTCATGTGTTGATAGCTGTTATTAGAGGACATGCAAGACCACAGGCTGAAGCCAACATCTGTGTTGTGAGTCTATGTGAGTGTCTTTATGTCTTAAAAATGTGTTTGATTCTTTCTGTATATCTCCACCAAAATAATCTTAACTCATCAGCATTACAGTGCAAGCAAGTACAAGCCTTTGATGGATACACTCTGGAAATTAGTCTGGAAGTCCTAAGAAGAGGGGCTTTCTATTTTTCCTATATTTTTCCTATCCATCCATCCATACAGATAAACTGTTTTCTTTATGTGTGTTTGTATATGTTTCCAATAAGAGAACTGTAGTGGAAATATGCCATTATGTTACTACGACTTAGGTTGAAATGTGCAGTTTTTTTATGTACAATTATCTAAAAAGTTATGATGGGATTTACCTGAAATATTTACCAAACGTGGGACTTTAGAGGTGCAATTTAGAGGATTTTGTGTTGGGAAGCAGGTACATTGTGCGTCATATGTTAACGTTAACAAATACTTGTGAAATTAAAATAAGACAAAATGGGGGGCATTATCAAAATATTCTTAAGAAAACATCAAAAAGCATGTCCAGATATGCTTCTTGATGCAAGGACTCACCTGATGCAGGTGCAGATTGGGCACTTGTCTTGTGATCTGATTGCACACTGACAAGTGAAGATAGCAAACAGATGGGTGACTATGTATGCAGTCTTCAGTTGGTTTTATGGCTGCAAAGGCCAGTGCATATAATTCAGTCCACTCAGTTCCTCTTGATCAGAGAAAGACCCCCACCCTGGAAATGACTACTGACTTCACATTCATTTAGAATAGTGATGAAATAATTTGGCCAGAAAGAAAAATATCTGGTGGAGCTGACGTTGAAATTTGATTTATTTCCATTTTATAACTCATGACTGATCCAGACAGTCTAACCTCAGTCATTTCTACTCTGAAAATTAAGGAAACCAGACCAAAGCAATGAACAGGAAGTGCGGGTCTAAAAAAAAATACTTTCCTCTTCCTCCACTGCCTGTTTTCCTGTTTTATGGGCAATCCCTCGCTCTCTTCCACCCAATTCCACTTTATCTTTTACTCTGTAATAATCTTACTTCGTGTCCTTACTGTTTATCTCTCTTTAAATGTTGTTTTCACAGTGTGGTCTAAATCATTTTCCTCTAAACGTATTACTTACTGACGCATTTCTTTTAGTTTAGTATGTTTTTAAATAAATAAAATACAAAAAGCAGCATAATATCAGATCAACTTGTTTATCAGAAAGACACAATGAAAAATTGAATTCTACTTTTAACGAGCAACACAACATTTTGAAGTAAACCTGTTTTTTCCTCCTCTGAGCTGTTTTTCCCTGGACATGGCACTCAGCCAGAAAGAATGAAAGATGCTCATTAACAGTTTTAATACAACGCGCATGATATGCACAAAGAACTCTATTCATCCTATCATGGCATCAGTATATATGAAATGGGACTCTGCATTGTTGATTAAGAACTGCGCGGACTTATACCTCAGTGATTACAGCTAAAAAGAACACAAACTCTATTTTTTCTTGCGACATATGTACTTTTTTCTTTTTCTTTTCTTTTTTTTTTCAAAAATCGGCCTCTGTCTCTCCCTCCTGGTTTTTTTTTTTCTTTTTTCCGCCTCAGCAGACGGCATATGCACGCCTTCAGCAAGACGACCCACTTTTAGGCTGAATAGACTATTCTGCTGCTCCCTCTGTGTCATCACTGTGTTTACCACGGAGGTCTGAAGCTCAAGCTCATATCCCAACTCCCTAGTTTACACCTTATTTACGATTCCAGCACACTAGGTGAACATGTAGAGATGGATTTTATGAAGCTGTTTGGCACTGTTATCGCCGTTTTGTTCCAGCCTGGCTCCACTTCTAAACTTAATGGTAAGAATTTCCTTCGAAGTGGGGAAAACTCCCTTAAAAAAAACGTATAGTAGTTTTATTTCCGAGTTGTACGAGTTTTGTTGTTTTTGTTTTGTTTTTCGCTGAGAAAGCTTCGATAATATCTGAATGACAAGACCATGAGTTGTATTTGTGTTGTTGTTGTTAATGTTTAAGTTAACGGGCTTAAACCAGAACCGCTGGAAAACTTGTCCTCGGTGTGTGTGTGTGTGTGTGTGTGTGTGTGTGTGTGTGTGTGTGTGTGTGTGTGTGTGTGTGTGTGTGTGTGTGTGTGTGTGCTATAATCATAAACAGACAGCAGTCAAACTCACAGCACAGCAGCATGCGATTAGGTGGGCGAACTCATTTAATATGAGGAAGAATTATAATTTAACACCTTTAACTGTACTATAGCGCATCAGTAGGACTAAAAGGATACAATAATGCTGCTAACTATAGGCCTAATCACAACAATAGCCATAACTACGCCAACATAATGTAAATCCGTATGCAGTATTGTAGTTTTTCCCCTCACAGTCTCCACTGCGAGCCAGTCTGAAGGTATTTCTAGCCCATGGTTTGATCCCTTGTCTCTCCCAGGCTAGCGTAAGCGACGTGCAGCAAGTAGCTAACTAGGATCAATTGATTGTGAAAAGCTGAAGAGACTGGGACAGTTGCAACACTTTTTGCACTTCTCTCAGTCACTCTGGCGTTGTTTGGCTTACTTCTCGTCTGGGCAGACGTTGAGATCTTGGTCATGTTTCCCTTGAAAGAGATATTAATCTCAAGGGATTTCCTGGTTAAATAATGCCAGTGATCAAAGGAGACTAGCCAGACTGCTTTGATTTGATAGGAAAACAACAGTAACTCAAATACCAACTCCTTACAAGCAAGATATGCAGAAGAGCATAGCTGAACACACAGTATATCAAAGCCTTGAAGATGATGGGCAGCAGCAAAAGACCACACCAGGTGCCACTGCTGCCTAAGAAAAGCAATGGAAGCTGAAGTTTGCATGGGGTTTGCAAGATTATAAAAACATCGCCTGGTCTGATGAGTCTTGATTTGTGCTGTGACATTTGGTTTGCAGGGTCAGGATTTGGTGTAAACAGCAGGAAAGGATCCATTCTGCCTTGTATCAGTGGGTCAGGCTTGTGGTGCTGGTGTAAAGGTGTGGGGGACATTTTCTTGACTCACTCTGGGTCCCTTTGTACCAACTCAGTGTTGTTTAAATGCCACAGTCTACCTAACTGTTGGTGACCATGTCCATCCTTTAATGACTGTAGTGCCTAATGAAGGTTCTGATTAGTGCATATGATGTATCACTCAAAATCTTGATGTGACTTTTGAGAAAGTCAGAAGTTTCACATGACCCAGTCTCAAAGGATGTTTGCACCATGAAGAAACTTGATTAAATCTGACTAATTCATTCATTGCATAACTACTATTAATTAATGATAGTTATAAAATAGCAATGACTTTGCTGATCTTGATTTAACTTGCAGATTCTGCTGAAGACAAGTTCTGTATGTTTTTATTTTAGTTAGATTTATCAGCACACAATGTCATTTAATTCAGATTTTACCCTTTTTTAAAGTTTGGTTCTTAGTTTTACTTCAGTTTTACTAAAATTGTTTATTCATTAGTTTAATTTTAGCAAACTTCAACAACCTCGCACTGCAGCGAAACACAGCCACGTGTTTTCGATTGTTCTTGGGAATGTATAGGCAATCAGAACACAACAAATTCAATTGTGCATTTTAGTATAAGAAAATGGAAACAAGGGAGGTTTTTTAGCCTGTCATGGTCTCATATTTCTTCATTCTTTTCATCAGATGCAATAGGATAAAGTGCGCATAAACTAATTAAAAATCTAGAAAACCTAGAAAAACATTATTCTGATGACTGCTTTGATATGGTTGCCCTGCTCTCTCCCATGACAAAATATCATGTACCAGCCTGACACACTTAGTTTGATGGATGTGGAAGTCAGAAAAACAGTGATTAAAACTGAGTCTGGACATACAGAGGGTTGAGACAGCAAATTTTGAAATGTGAAAAAATGAGAGTAAAATTATTTTTACTGGAGTGAGACTGATGTAGAAAAAAAACCCTTTTTTAAGCCCTTGAAAGTAAAGGTATAAATATCAGTACCATCTGTACCATTGCAGTGGAAAGAATTTGGCAATGCAACCCAAACATTCTGGTTCCTATTTTTTGTCTGTGACACTGTAAGCAGCTTAAAATCTTCCTGCCACACAGATACCACAGGAAGGGTTCAGAAAACAAAAACCCTGCATTTATCATCTTGTTTTATCCTCAATGCTCCCGGTTGGCGTCCAGGGCAAAGAATATGCCGGAGCGGGACACAGCGTCCGTGTTACAAGGCGTCCTACATCCACGACAGCAGGCGAAGGCTGACCTTTGAGGATGCCAGACAGGCCTGCAGGTTGGACGGAGGCGAGCTGCTAAGCATCGAGACGGAAAGTGAGCAGCAACTGATAGAGAGGTACATACAAAAGCTGACCAATAGAGATGGCGACTTCTGGATCGGGCTCCGTCGCAACCCGCAACGTTACAGCGTCGGGACGTCAAGCCCAGGTTGCCCCTCGCAGTATTACTGGCTGGATGGAAGCAAGGCTAAGTTCAGGTTTTTCTTCTTTGTTTTGAAATATATTTTTCATCTGTGTAAATGTTTAAGCTGCATCTGTGAAAACAGTAAGAGTGGCCCCCGAGACAGTGTGCTGCAGATGGAAGTGGAAAAAGGCTGTATTCAATGATGACTCAGAAAAAATATTGGATTAGGTGATGTTTGTGTGGGAGTGAAGGAATGTCTAATGTCCTTTGCAAGAATTTGGGATTAAGATAGAAATAAATGACACACTGTTTGAGCTCAGGACAGCACGGTGGTGTGGTGGTTAGCATTGCTGCCACACAGTAAGTGGGTCCTGTGTTTGAATCCAGCATCCACCAGTGAAGCTTGCACGCTCTCGTTATATCTGAGTCCATTCTCTTGAGGTACCATAGGTTTCTCTCGCAGACCAAACACGTGCAGTTTAATGAGGTTTGTAATTGGTGATTGTAAATTGCCCATAGGGGTGAGTAAGAATAGTCATCTGTCTCTGTCAGCAGTCAAGCAAAAGAATGAAAGAAAATTAATATATAGTCTAAACTTGTGCATCTTATTTGTTGCAGGAACTGGCACTGGGACGAGCCATCGTGCGGTAAGGAAATGTGCGTAGTTTTGTATCACCAGCCCTCTGAAACACCTGAGGGTCGTTTCCTGTTCCAGTGGAATGATGAAAACTGCAGCTCCAAGAACAACTTTGTCTGCAAATACGCAGAAGGTGAGCTGGTATGCCTCACACATACCAGTGATCTAGCTGGCTTAAGAGTGCTGGAAAATGTTAAAATTTGGTACTCTTGGTTGTTTTTTTAGTTCCTAAATCTACAAAACTAGAATTTTATTGTCTAGGGATCGCTGCTACAATGTATCCACTGCTGCCAGCAGCTAAAACTAAACAGAAAGAGTTTTAATGGTATGTTTTCTTACAACCGACATTAAAATATAGCTGATTACATGAAAAGAGGGGAAAAAATGACTCATTTCTTTCCATAAAGCAACCTTTAGTAGTCTCACCCATGTATTGCTTTCTTCCTCTGAATAACACTAATTTATTTCCCTGTTCTGCAGAAAAAGTACCAGTATTTACTGAGGACAGAAACACAGCACATGCAGGTACTTGTCAGCTTAGAAATGCTAATATTAGAACGTGATACAACGTCTGCTGTGTACTGTGCATTCTGAAAACAACCATGTATTCCATGTAATGTGATCGCATGAAAATTTTTATATTATACATAATATTCTGTATGTTCGATTACATTTTGTTTATTGTCCTTTGAGACACCCAACACCTGCAGGAAGCATCCTAATCAGATGCCTGAACCACTTCGACTGGCTCCTTTCAATGTGGAGGAGCAGCAGCTCTACTCCAAATCCATTTTGAATAACCAAGCTCTTCACCATTACTTTAAGGGAGAGCTCAGCCACCCTTCTCATTGCTTATATCTGCAGCCTCATTCTTTTGGGTATTACTACAGTCTTCATAAACACATAAAAGGCTAAAGAAAATTTATACATGCTTGTGACCTCTTTTAAACACCTTTTCTGCGAGAAACATGGTAAATGGGCTACATACTACATGCGTCATTCACCCATGCAAACATATTCATAAAAGCACTTTTTTTCTACTCATAAATCCTTTCTAGCTAAATTTCACACACATTACTCCAATAAATGCATTGGAGAGCAACCTGAGGTTCAGCATCTTGTCTAAGCATATTTGGTATGCAGACTGGAGCAGCCAAGGATCCAGCCACCAACCATATAAAGATAAAACACGAAGATTCTTTGGAGAACTCTATTTTTTTAACTGCTAAATTTTCTAGAAATTAAAATGCAACTGTCCTCTGCAGTAGAACTTATGCATCATATGCGTCAGCTGTAATAGTCTATCTATGGGTGAGTTTAGTGAAATCATACATTATGTGATATATGTGTATATATATATATCTATATCTATCTCATGGAGTAATCGAATCATTTAAAATATCTTTCACACGCACCTGTTGATTTTGTTTTCTGGTTTCTCTAGTTCCATCTTTGATTCCAAGCATACTGTCAACCACAGAAAGTAATGAAAGGATAAAAATAGCACTACCTGAATCCTCTGGTAAGAAAGGAAAGAAAATATTCTTGATACTCTGAGGTATGTTTTGGGAAGCTATGAAAAACCACTGTGTCACAAGCAAAGTTCTTTTGTTCACAGTATCTTTCTCTGGCAACACCCTCGACATTTCCTACATCCTTTATGCGACTATCCCTGCGCTACTGTTGCTGTTGTTTGCAGCTGTTGGTTTCTTTTGCTACAAACAGCATGCTAAGAGGTAAAACAGACAGCTATAACAATTTTTTTTTAATGCATTTGATTATATGAGTATGTCCTGTTGATTTTAACTTTGGCCCTCTTTCATATTTAGGAGGAAGACAGAAACAGAAAGCTATCCCAGCAGATCAAAACAGTGGGTGCTAGCAACAGCTTCATCTTGCCCTGTGCAAGGACCTTATGCCTACAGTGACATTACCAAACTGCCTCACACTGCTCTGGACAGCAGGATAGCAGCAGAAATCATGACAAAGTACTCCGGTTCTCCGTCCCATGACTCCCTGTGCAACGATTATGAGAATGTGTCGTGTGTGGACAATGAGAGCGGCTTTGTCACCAATGACATTTACGAGCCCTGCAGAGCTCAAAGCCGGCGCTGCCGCAGTCAGACTGGATGGGTGGAAAATGAGATCTATGGATAACACCGGTGTTTGCAAATGTCCGTCAACCACAGACAGACTACAGTTACACTGTGCGGTGCAGGATTTCTAAACAGCTTGGCCATATCTGTACAGGTTTCACTCAATTTTCTAGTCCTGCATGTAGAATGTACTGTCTGCAAATCAGTGTATTCCATAAAACAGGGGTTCTTAATGTTTTGTCCATGACTTGGTATTCACGTACACATGACTTTATATTTCTGATGTTTTAATAAAAATGTGTTACAGTCAGACCAATGGCACTGTTGACTCCGTGAATCACTGTGATAGCATGCTGATAGATGTAGACACATTGTTTTCCATATTCACCATCGTAGTATGGATGCCCAAAATTGCAGACTAGTTCCACACACTATATAAAGCTGAAGCCGATCAAATCTGATTGAAAAAGAAAAGGATGAGAAGTTGAAGGATTGCCAAAGTGATTCTGATGAGGGCACAAATGTGTGTATACAATTTCATAATAATCCATCCAACAGCTGTTGAGACCCTTACTGTAATCCACTAATCTTATAGTGGCACTTACTACATGACAGGCTATGCACTGAAATGCAAAGGCTGGAAACTGCAAAAATATAAAACCAAATCATGCCATAAAGGTTCTAATATTTCATAAGGTTAATGAAAAGTGGGTGAAGATATTACAGAAAAGTTAAAGTGGAATATCAAAAGCATTAGTCTATTTATCGCCTGGGGAGAATGCACAAATTTCCAAGGCAAATTTTGATCCTGTATTAAAGTAATTTAGGCTAAAGGGGCAGGCCATCTGATAGACTGCTGATAATGCTGTCCTTAAAAATTGTGTTATATTTTAAGTTAACTGAATAAATGGTAAGACCAATTCATCAAGCAGGTAAAGATGCAGGTCATGTGTGCACAGGTCTCTAAGCTAAGCTAACAGAATGGGCTTTGAGGGGTTTTTTTTTTTCAACTCAAAGAAAAACACATATTTGTGCCCACTTATTTCCTTTGTTCAGTTTAAACCTTCGGCTCTAATAAATTATGCAACATTACAGCAGCACTAAAGTTTTTAGAAGTTTTAGGAGGCATTAATGAAACCAAAGAAGCATTAATAGTTCAGGTCATCTTGGTGGTGCAGCAGCACTGCTGAATCTGACATAACAGATTATGCAATTAGCCTAATCCTGCAATATTGCACACCCACAGAGTTACTCATTTTGTAAACAATCGCACATTAAACTACTCAGCTTCTCTTTTTACAATAATGTCAAAGGATATGATGAGTCAGAAGACAGAGACGGTTTGCTTGTTGGCTTGCTGCTGTGATGGAGACTCCAACCCAGGGACTTTTTTGACCTTTTCTCTAAACTTGAACTTTGGTGTCATCCCTGTGTAAGGCTTCCTGTTTGGTCTCTGATGTCAGAGCCCAGCAGAGAACATGAGGAAACACCGATGGCTGAACTGCTGTGGCCAAAATAAACCTCAAAGTTGTGCGGTTTCCTGACTCCACCTGATTGTGCACGAGGTTCAACTTTCCCACTGATCTGACAGAAACTTGAGGCCAGTTTAAAATATATCACACGTTAATCAGTGCATGTGCATTTCCATGTTCATTTTTAAAGATCACTCTTTACGTTACATATACAAATGTCTGTGTTTTTTTCTAAATGTGCACTGAGTGGGTGTTGGATCGGTGTCTTGGAAAGATGTAGCAAGCCCAGTAAGGAGAGGCTGAGTGTGTTCTTGGAGAATGTTAGACAGGAAATGCCAAAAGCACATCTGGAACTCTTACATTCAGGAAGTCAATGCTTGACAGCGGAGGCCTTCGGAGCGCTGCTCTGCCTGCCTGCTTAGCAATCCACTGTTCTCCGTTTGACTGTCACTACACAACATGAAGAAAAGCAGTGCCAGTTGCAGAGCTGTGCTGTAATTCCGACATGAAGATTGCTTCTTTTTCTGATGTGTAGTTAAGATATTTTGGCTGCATTCTTTGTTTAATAATAATATAGATATACTGGTGGGATCTGCTTTAAAGCTGCTTGAAAGCATGGAGCGTAATCAGTCAAGCACTGAGGAAAAGGAAAATATGGAGCCTCGCTTCAGTTTTCTACTTTTGCCAACAGATGGTGCTGTCATGTAGCTGACAAAAGTTTCTTTGTGGCTGATAAAATGTCTGATTTTATATGGAGCTCTGCATATTCCATTATGTAATGTTATAGATTAGAAATAATGCACGTTGCATAGCTGGATTAATCAGCTATCTATATATATATATATATATATATATATATATATATATATATATAGATAGATAGATAGATAGATAGATAGATAGATAGATAGATAGATAGATAGATGGTTTTATTGCTTCTTAAATTTTTTATTTTTTTTCACTTTTTTTTACTCTGGAGGCTTTCAGGCCGGTTCAGACCGCTTTTAGCCCCTGTCTCCCCCTGCATTTTTCACTCGCAGCTGACAAAAGCTTATTAAACACCTGCAGGGCAAAAACTTCAAAGTTACCTATGCGTGCAATCAAGAAGGGCAGGCGAGCAAACAGATTTCAGAATAGCAATTTTACCGGTTGACGTAAGAGGTGGGTCTGGTTGTCCTGGCAACCAATTGGCACTGAAGTGTGGAGCGGCTCGGTGGCCCCGCCCCCTGTACAAATACCCCTATGGCTTTGACGTCAATACACGTCAACCGGAGAACATGATGCCTCTTTGCAAGTCAACTCGTGTGCTCTGTCGCTGATAGAGGCGCCTCAAGCTGAAATATTATAGCTCTATTGTACTGACGAACGTGGTGTGACAGCCCGCAGGCTCAGCAAATGGCCAGCTTCGTATCGCCACACTAGCGGACAGGGTCGCCACAGTGGCGTTCAGGCGGCCGAGGGCGACACAGAAATCAACTTTGTGTATTTTAATGGACACGCTTCGAGCGGCGGCGGCGGCAGCAGCGGCGGTGGCGGGCGGTTTGTTTTCCTTTCGTCTTTATCTCGAGCTGCTCAAGTAAGCCCCAGTCTGCCCCTCGTGTGTCCCTGCACGTCTGGCTGCCTCCTACTCTTCCACTCAACAGTCCCGTTTTAGAACAGCATGGTCATGGCTGACAGTGTCCAAAAACCGCTGATCCGGGGTCCGGTCCGAGTGGGCTTCTACGACATCGAGCGCACTTTAGGAAAGGGCAATTTCGCTGTGGTGAAGTTGGCCCGACACCGCATAACCAAGACGGAGGTGAGTGTGTGAGCAAACTAGTTAGCCCGAAAGCTAACTTGTGCTACTGTTTTAGCGGAGTTATATAACTTTTATGCACAAGTTGACACCCCTAGATAGCGAAATGCTCTCCAGCACCGTGCACTAAATAGCATCTTTGGATCACATAACTACCGGCCACTTGGACTGCTCCGGTTCGAGCAACAGCTGGTGTGCCTGAAAGCTTGCAGGTACATGAGCAGTGAATGACTGCACGTTCACTCCTCTCAGCTGACATCACTGCCAGTAAAAAAAATAAATTAAAAAAAAAGGTCTGACCACTAGCGCTGCTGGGAAACACAAACTGCAAACATGCACGTTTGATTATTATTCTTATTTATTTGATTTTCCGCACATGTATCCGTTGGGTTAATGACCCAGACGGTAGCCACAGTACCTACTCAAGAGTGGTTGGAGCCGTATCTGGGGCATGCAGCATGGGTCGGTGGTCCCCTTATGTAATTCAAGTAATGATGTGATTTTTTTTTTAGTTGTTTCTTATCCCAGCACTGCTCAGAGCTTTGTGATGAGCAGGGTATGTCATGCCAAATATGCTGTAATTGGAAAGCAAAGTATTTTGCATGCAGACACTGCTTTTTAGGGGGGTGGGGGGGTCGAGGGTCTTAACTAAGCTTGGAGTGATATTACAAACATTTCACACTCTTAGGTAATGCAGAATGAGAGCAGAGGGAACATTGCTCGGGGTTTGTGTGAGTGTACTTCTGGTTTTATGTCAGCTTTGTCAGAAGGGCCCTTTCTCAACCAGTACCACGGAGTGCCACGACTTTCTGCTGTAATGACAGAGACACAAGGAATTTGCTGTAAAGAGTGTTCAGTGAGAAAAAGATAAGGGGCAAAGAAAAAAAAAAAAAGCTGTATTGTGTGAGACAGTGATAAGACTGGAGAGTTGCTGCACACTTTGATCTCTGGAGCCTCCAACTGATTACACCATACAGAAAAAAAAAAACAGATTTACATCATCCAGGCGAGACCCTTGGTAGGTTTAATGAATAACAAGGCAACAAAATGGCTCTGTAGACTCTTATCTTGTTACTCTGGTTATTAAAGCACGCAAAGTGGCACAGCATTAGTCTAGCCAGGTAATCTGCACCGTGTAACATTAACAGCTCTGTGAATGCAGGTTTTAAGTTCAGGCAAACGTTACACCAGGTGATTTCAGTAAGCGACTACACCTCTCCCTCAGCTGGAGTGGTATTAAAGATGAATGAAAACATGGGTTGTTTTTTAGGCCGGGTTTGGTAGAGGTCACTCAGTGATGGTCAGTATGAAGGACAAATGCAGCTGCCTAGCTCTGGCAGTGGGCCTGGCACTGTTGGTTTTAAAAAAATTTATTTTTATTTTACAGCAGCCAAGGTCGGCCCGAGTGGCAGGCTATTAACTTATGTGATGCCATCTGCCTTGAGAATTTGCCCGGGCACAAGCGATATTAGCATAGTGTAAAGAAAACCAGTGTACTGACACATGAAACGGCAGATGTTGTGTTACGATGTGAATGTGTGGGCATATTCCCGGACAGGTTTATCTCTGTGTAAATAACATACTCTTTCTGTGCGTGGCCCCTGCATGTGATACTGACCCATTCATCCCAGTAAGTACATATTGCAGCTTGTGGCTTTACATACTGTTGAGCCATTCCCTTCTGGTCTTGTGTGTCAAGTTGTACATCTATCCATATCTGATTATAGCGTCATCATGTCTTTCTGCTTTCATTGTATGAGCTAAATTCACCTCTAACTCATTGTCCTCCAGTGACCTTGTGCCAGCACAGTTCACGAGAAGTCTTGTGTGCTGTGTGTGGGTTTAGTTTTGTTGACAATGTAATCAGGTAGCACAGATCTTTTCATGTTAGGTGCTCTGTTGTCCCTCTGTAGCAGACCAAAGATTTTGAATCTCATGCCCGAAGGGTCTGCACAGGTAGCTGGAGTGCCATTAAAAGATTTAGATTTAATCCTGAATTGAACGCCTGCCTGTACGTAGCTAGGGAGATGATAATGGAGAGTGTT